ATTTTAATGCTTTATTTTGCATTACCTTTTTATGGTTTGGTTAAACTAATTTTTTCAAACTTATTTAATTCTTCTTCTTTCTTTCTTAAAATTAAATTTGAATGAATTTTTTTTTTAATTTGAAACTATTTTATTAAAATTTATTTTGAAACAGAAGTTGTAAATTTCTTTCAAATTATTATATTTTTATTTATTTTAAATTAGTTTTGTTACTTCATTATGAATTAATTTTTTGTTTGAATTTTTAAACTTATTTTGAATTTATTTTTCAAGTGTCTTTTGAATTAGTTTCTTTATATATTTTTTAATTTATTCTAAATTATTTCATTAAAGTTTATTTTAAATTTTCTTCTGAATTAATTTTGTTACTTTATTTTGAAGTATTTTTTTTGCAATTTGTTTGAAATACTTGTTTTATTATTTTTTAATTAATTTTTTTTTAATTTATTTTTTTTCTTTAATTATTTAGATTTAATTTTAATCTGGTATAAGTTTTTTGAATTTCCTTTGAACGACTTTTTTTAATTATCTTTTTTTTAATTTACTCTGAATAAATTTTTTAAAACTTTTTTGTTCAATTAATTTTTTAAGCTTATTTTGAATAAATTTTTTCAAATTTATTTTGTTTTTTCTTCATTATATTTTTTTTTATTTTTATTTTAATATATTTTGAATTAATTTTTGTTTTAATTTCCTTTATATAATTTTGAACTATCTTTTTCTAATTTTTTATATATATTTGAACTATTTCATTAAATTTTGTTTTTATTTTGAACTAATTTTTCTTATTATTTTTAATTAATTTCCTTTCAATTTATTTCGAATGCTTTTAATACAATTTTTTTGAATCATTTTTTAACATAGTATGATTTTATTCGTTGAGCTTAATTTTGAATTGAAATTTTTAAATATATTTCGAATTAATTTTTGCATTTACTTATTTTGAGCTATTTTTTTATATATATATATTTTTTTTTTGAATAAATTTTTTATTCTATTTTGTATATTTTATTTTAATTCCTTTTTAATTGTTATTTTTTATTGTGTTTGAATTACTCTTTTTAATTAATTTAAATAAATTTTTAAAATTAATATTAATTTATCATTTTATTTCATTATTTCAATGGTTGTTTTTAATTTTAATATAATTTTTTTTTTTTAATTAACGTCTTTGAAATGAATTTAATATTTTGCTTTTGATTAGTTCAAATAATTTTAGCTTTGATTTGTTTTGGATGTATTTTCTTAAATTTAATTTGTTTTTTTTTTCTGAATTATTTTTAACTAATTATGTTTTAATTTATTTTGTACCAAATTTTGTTAAACCAGTTTTTTTCTTTTTGTTTAATTTTTTCAATATATTTTGACCTAACTATTTATAATTTTTAATTTAAAATTTTCACATATAAGCAAATTTGTTTCCTCATATTCTGTAGAATGTTTTATTATTTTTTTATAATCATTTTTTTTAATTAATTTATTATTATTTTACGTGTTTACTACAGTTCAAAGTATCATCATTGTGAATAGTTCGCATATTTTGTTAAGACATGTAAAACGGTTTTATTTTGCAAAATATTTTGGCATCATTTTACATTAATTTATGTGCTGAACTTTGCGCGATTATCAACATTAAAATATTTTTTTTTTTGTATTCAAATTTGTCTGTGGAAAATAAATATTCGCTGCAAAATGAAAACTAACAAAGCGTGGAAAGCAAGACACTGCTAATTCAAAATACCTTAATTTGTTACAAACAGTCAACGACCACATGAGGGAGTCAGGTGTCAGGTGGATTTTTTTTTTTTATAATTCAAACGCTTCACATTATCCAGCGTCATATGTTTAAAAATATTTACTACTTTTTTTAACTTTATTCCATAACAATCACAGCAAATGTGCGACAGTCTCGAGTTTAAGAGTCATAACTCAACCTTCTACAAATTTATTTTTGCTAAACTACATAGATTTTTTCAATAAAAGCAATTTTAAAAAGCAATTTAACTTTTTTTAACACCCTTACATTCCCAGATTGAACAAGACATGAATCTACCATAAATATTCAGTTCACTCTTATCTTTAATCATTTTTACGCTTATAACCCAATTCTCAAAGGATTAACTAAGAAAATTTCTAAAATGTCCTTATGATGTAAAATATTTTATTACAATAGCGCTATTGTGAATGATTAGTTTATTCCTGAGCAGCGATGCTTATTTGTCCCGGTTGAGCTTACCGAGGACAAGTTAATATTAAATCAGTATTTTCCAGTTTTCATATTGTTTTTAAGACAAATTTTTTTGTAATTTTTCATGGTGCAAATTTTTCGTGGTCCTATAAAACTTAACTAAGCTAAAAATATAATTCTTGTTACTCTAGGTGCCATTGTGAATATCACTCCCCAGAAGCACAAAACGTCAAGTAAAATAAACCAAGTAATCTTCTAACATTTTCTCAGTTAAATTTCAATTTAAGTTTTACTTACAAAACTACTTGATAGTGAAAAAATTTCAATTTTGAAATGAAAAAAAAAACTACAACAACAAAATGTATTAAATTTTTTCATAAATGCTTGCCAGTTGACGTAAACAGTCTGTTAAAAGGCTGTTAAAGGACGCGCTCATCACCCGAAATTGGAAGTGTTGTGACTGATTTCTGTTTATGGAAAACTGGTAAGTCACTAAATAATAGTGATAGTAGCCTTTGTGACTTTCGGTCTTGGTTGATCAGATTTTCGGGAACAAAATAATTGACTGACCTGCGTGATCTCTTTAGGCCGCTCTTTTTACAAGTGTCTCTGTCTGCCTACGCTCATTATAAACTATTGTATTAAAAGTTAAATGAACATTTTCCCATTCTGCTAGCTTTTTAGCTAACCTTCAGCATAAGTTAGTCAGGAGAAATGTTATGAAATTGTGCCTGGTTCAGCTCTATATTGAAATTCTGTGGCCATAGAATTTTAAAAATGTTTTTTTCTTTTTTTTTTTTAAATATAACCAATATCCTTGCCGTAGTGACGGCAATGGTTTTTTTTCCAATGAAATTTAAGAGAAAAAAAATTGAGTAAGGTTATAGAGCGCTCATAAAATCGTTCAAGATATGCTTAATATTGTTTATCAATGTTATAAAATTATAAAAAATAACAACAAAAGCAATGTCACAAAAAAAATTCCAACAAAAGTGGACGGAACTTGTATTTATTGATATGAATGCAATAAAAATATAATCCAATTAAGTTGGGACTGTGTTTATTATTAAAACGTCATAAACTATACACACATTATCCACGTCAATGACACGTTTCAAAAGCAATTAATCATTTGCTAGTTGTGCTTAGCACAATTACACATACAAATATACATCATTGGTATCAACTTTCAAAATATAGAACAGTCGTCACTTGTATGTCACAAAGTTTCAATATCGAAAAAAAGAAGGATTATGGAAATTTACATATACTGGGATTATAGTCGAGCATTCTCATTTAAAGTATTTCATTCTTACAAGCCTATTATGTCGAGGTAACAAAATTTACTATGGTCCTTTTCATCGATATTGAAACTTACCATTCAGTAAATTTTGTTACCATTTCGTATTCTGCGCTCACTGTCACTCTGTAAATTTTATTACCAGCGAAATAGGAGGTAACAAAAAATCTGCTGTTTGGTTTTGTGTTGTTAGTTTCAGAAAAATTAAAAACCAAAATGGGAAATGGGTAGGCATATTTTAGGCCTGGAATTATTTGGAGATGAAGAAAAAAGTGCAAAAAGCCGTATTTTAAGAAGTTTTCGAGACTAAAAAATAGCTCTTTAATTTGTAAAATATCGTTTTCATTCAGCTTTTTTGTCGCTTAGGCATATTTTCCAAAATTAGGTTCAAATATTTATGATTTAATAAACAGATAAATAAAACTTATTTGTTTTGTTGTGCACCGTCTTCCATTTCGATGTGAATATTCCTTTTTTTACATTACAAACTGGCAAATGTAATTTGACAAGGACGAAAAATGAAGTGCTGCCAAAGTTTTTTCAAACATTGTAACCAGTACGCCAGAATACCAAATTCAATTTCGGGTGTTAAAAAAAAGTAACAAAATTTACTTTACCAGTAACACTGAGAATAGGTCTGTTAAATAAATATAATATACATACACATACTTATGTGTATATACTATAATTTCAAGCATCCACCTACATATATGTATATAAAATTATTAAATTTTTTTTTGAGGCGTGTGAACTGTTATTTACATTCAAGTAGCTACTTTCATTAAAAATAATATCATTAAAGCTCTCAATCAACGTCGGATGGATTTTACTTTTGACTTTATCAAGCACTTTTAATATTTTAAGCACAAATAAATAATAAATAAATTTTCAAATGCTCAACTGAGGCTCGTGCTCAATTGAAAATCAATTATAAGCTTTTAATTTCATTCATGAATAAAAAATTGATAATCAAGATAAAATGGGAGCGTTTTTATTCAATATTAGGAAGCACTGGAATGAATTCTCTTGAAATTAAACGCCGCCATTGAACATGTACTATGCCTGCATATACCAGTATATATGATGGCTTATATATTTTACAAATCAGAAGGATTACCAATTATTTAATAATTTGTTTAAATTTAATGATTTTTATCATATTTGATAATATTTAATATTATTAAGCGCAATTTTGTCTGGTCCAGCTCTATATTGAAGTTGAAATGGAATTTACCATCCTTTTGACATTTAGATTGAATATCCTTAAGTTCTTTCAATGTGGCATTCACAATAGCGTAATTTTACTTTTTACTAGGCAATACTATTAATGAATTACTTATTATTATTGCCAAACCGTACTTGCTTATTTTTGTTACTACTTTTCGGGCAAACAATTGGATAACCAAATTGTTGATTTCTTGTTAAGTTTGACTGTAAAAATGATACAGCTGTATTAACCAAAAATTATAACTAAATATCCACCATCTCTTCTCTTTCACTCTCTCATTCTAGATGGCGGACACCAACACTTCGATAACAACTTCGAAAGAGAAGTCAAGTTCAGTATTTACACTGAATGATTTCAATTCACGGTTAGTTAAAAAGAAAAATTATTTCATTGCTTCTCATTATAATTTTTTTAACTAAATTGCATGTACTTACATTGTATGTACGTACGTAAATATTTATGTATGTGTCTATATAATTTATTTCTCCCAATTACAGCACAAATTTAACCGAAAAAGCACAACTCAGCGATGAATATAACCCAGCTGATTATCGTGACCAAGTCAAGGGTCAAACAACAGGGGGCGCTTTGGCGCATTTACTAAAAAGTTCATTGGGCACCGGCATTTTGGCAATGCCAATGGCCTTTTACAATGGCGGTTTGGTGTTCGGTATGGTTGCAACGCTGATTGTGGGTTTCCTTTGTACGCATTGTGTACAAATATTGGTAAGTTGGCGTAAGGAAAAGAAAAATAATAACAACATTGAATAAGTGTGATGAATAATTTAGTTAATTTTCGTATCTGTCACCTGTCAATTTATGCCAATGATAATGTGAAATTTTTGCCGGAAGAATATTTGCAAACTAATTAACGTGTTCATAAGAAATGCGTAAATGCTTACTTTACAAGTCTTGATCAGACAGCATACAGTAGACAGTACACAGGTGTCCAGTTTGAAGTAAAATTACTCAAAGATTAATCTTAAATCGCTTCTTTTCGAGCCATATATTACTGCACAAACCATCGAGCTTCATATATTTATTGTTCATTTTTAACATTTCATGCCCTAGCTCCCATCACTTAATTTTAACCCCTACTAGTGAGCAAACTGGGCATTATTTGAAACTCTCTTTGTCCTCCGAAACGAGGGTAGAGCGAAAGAGAGCAAAGCTATTAATGTCTCTAGAGGAAGCGCAAGGAGAATAATTTTTTTTTTAGCTAAAAGAGCAGAATTCCAAATAAAAGAAAATATAAGTAGTGATTTTTAAATAATTGAGCACTTTCTATTCCACTTTTGAATTCGTTAAATAGTAAAATTAGTAAAATACTTAACGAAAATACTTGTAATAATTAAAAATGGAATTAATAACTGCTAATCGAATAATTGTGATACGTAACAGATTTTAGAAGATTACAAAAAATTTATGCTTTTATAAAAAATAAGAAAAATTGAGTGTTTCAAAGAAATCGTCACATTTCTCTTTATATACATACATATTCCCGTATTAATTCACACTAAAATGTTGTTTATTTTAGCTGTTAATAAATAACTTGATTCTAAATCGGAAACAGCTATCAATAAAAAACTGTATCTACAATAGCCAAAAAATATCAAATGTCCAATCTTGGCAGTTTGTATATCACCCTTTCAAACTGCAAGTCAGCATATAGAATGAGTATGAAAAATTTATTATTTTTACTTTATCAAAAGTTTGATCAAAAGCAATATAAAGTTAGATAACAAAGGTTTTAGTGCACAAACAATTATATATACAAATTTTTTGTTTTTGTTAAATACATAGTTGCTTAACAAGACATCAACCAAGAAAATAATACAAATTCTATATAATAATCTGTTAAGTTGCTTATCAAGGTTCAGTAAGGTCCTTGGAAAAATCTGAAACTAAAAAAAAAATAATTATTTGCAATCGCTAACTATTTTTGAATATCACTTATGTACGTATGTCACCATTTTCTAAATAAAATTTTCCATATATTCATTGACAGGTTAAAACGTCACAAGAAATCTGCAAAGAAATTCGCGTACCCGCATTGAACTTCGCCGAAACAGCTGAAAAAGTTTTCGAAAACGGACCGAAACGTTTACGATCATGGTCGGGCTTTGCGAAGTAAGTTTTTTTTCTCTTTTACTTTTAGAAAGCTTTAAAAAAAATTATTAAAAAAAAAATTGTTTACCTTTCCATAGGAAATTCGTTGATGGCGGTCTTATGGGTACCTATTTTGCTGCCGCTTGTGTGTATATGGTTTTCATTGCCACTTCGTTTCACGATGTCATCGAATATGATACCGGCATAAAATGGGATGTGCGTGTTTATATTGCCATCGTTGTATTACCTTGTTTACTTATTGGACAAATTAGAAATTTAAAATGGCTCGTACCCTTCTCCGCCATGGCTAACATATTTATCGTTGTCACTTTCGCCATTGTGTTGTATTATTTGTTTAGCGGCGAAATGGTATTCTCCGATAAACCTCTGATTGCAAAAGCTACACAATTACCACTTTACTTTGCCACCGTCATCTTTGCTATGGAAGGTATTGGTGTAGTTATGCCTGTTGAGAATACCATGAAGAAACCACAACAGTTTCTCGGTTGTCCTGGTGTTTTGAATTCCGCCATGATTATCGTCGTCTCGCTGTATGCAGTTATTGGTTTCTTGGGTTATGTGCGTTATGGTAGCGATGTGCTTGGCAGCATTACATTGAACTTGCAAAAGGGTGAACCGTAAGTATTGTACTAGAAATTATTTCCACACATTATTTTAATTAATAATATTTTTCTCCTCAGATTGGCTGATGTGGCGAAATTATTAATGGCCGTTGCCATACTTTTCACATATGGACTGCAATTCTACATACCAATGGATATTTTATGGCGAAATATTAGCGACAAATTCAAGGAAGAGAATCACAATAGAACACAAATACTATTGCGTACTGGCATTATACTGATAAGTGGTGGTATTGCGGCTGCCATACCAAATCTTGAACCGTTCATCAGTCTTGTGGGTGCTATTTTCTTCTCATTGCTTGGTAATTTATACAAACTGAAACAAAAAAACTCAGTTATCAATGTGAAAATTTTGAGCATTATTTTTTAAGTTAAACATTTTACCTCTCTGAATTGCAGGCATATTTGTACCAAGCGTTTGTGAGACTGTTTACTTGTGGCCCGATCGTTTGGGCTGCTGCAAATGGAAGCTGTATAAAAATATTTTCTTAGCTACCTTCGCGATATGCGCTCTAGTTGCTGGCTCAGTAGCAAGTATAGAAGAAATTGTTAAAATATACAAATGATATGCTAAATAAAACTTTAGGATATTTTTTTTTATATTTAAATAGTTTAAGTTTTTGTGTATATAAAATTAAAGCTAACACTAAGGACCTGTTACTTCATTGTAAATAGTTTAAGTTTTAAGTAAAAAAATGATATCTATATAAATAAGTATGTATGTATGTATGTATGTTTACATACCGAAATACATTGTTTAGTACCTGTGATTTAAATGTGTGAAAGTGATCCGCTTTTTAAGCAAACTTAGTGCTAAACATCAGTATTTAAAAAAAGAAAAAAATGCTAACACTATTTATTTTAAGTCTTACCAAAGACGATATCTATTAAAAATTCTACTAGCGTTATTGCAAAATATAGAATTTAATTTTTTTGCAAAAAAAAAACATTTAGTAATAATTCCAATACTTGACGTGTTAAGTGCATACATATATTTGGCATTTATTATGATGTAAATTTCATAATAACTTTAGAAAGAGGAAATTAATTAATATTATTATTTTATTTCAAATAATAATAATAATTGTAAATATGTTAGAAATCAATTAAATATTAATAAACCAATACGAAGAAATAATGTGCTTGATTTATATAAATTTGTTGAGCATTGATAACGATATAAAATTAAATAACTTTAAATCTCATATTAAAAGCATATTTTTGGCTGAAAAGAAAATAAAAAATATCAATTAAAAAAATTTTTTTACTCAAAACCAAAAGCAATAAATATTTCATTTTATTTAAAAAGTCTAGCGTTCTTTTCAGAAATCTTGCATTGAAATTTTTTAACGTATTTTTGCACTTACCATACATAAGTGTGTATGTATGTATCTGTATATAAAAAAACTACATGCCACTAAATTTATAGCACTCAGCACAATAAACTAACTAATAAAAATTTTTCTATAATATTATACATAAGTAATTTCGAAAATTTTAATGTAAGAAGTATTTTTTTAAGAATCAATAATGACAAAAATAAATCTAATAAATCACTATAAAAAAACGTCTAAACATGCGAATATGGAAAGCCCCGTAGCAAGCAAATACAACGGGTATGTATGTATTTCAGCGGCCGTAGAAAGCAATTAGGCAATGAAACAAATTTTAATCGCCTAATTTTTACTGATATGATAATAATACTAATAAAAAAGCATAAGCCTCAGTAGCAGCACAAATGTTGAGCAAATCATACATGTACATATGTATATGTATACATACACATTTATACAAGAAAATATAGAAACACGAACTACAACGAGGTTATAACTATTCACACTCACATTCACCTACACGTTTCACATATATACTTTCCTTTCAATTTTATTTTACGTAATATTGTTTTACATATGCGCTTTAATTTAAATATTAAATATATATTTCCTCGCCAACTTTAATTCACTTTACTCAAATTCTAACCGAACATTTCAAATTTCCTTTGATCATCGAAATGGCAGCCATTTTGTACAGTTTCAACGGAACTGCTGGTTTGCTGCTTGGCATTTCCGTACGTTTTCCTTTATTGCTTACCTCATTCACAATAGCGTTGCGATTATTTTATTTAAGGGTATTTACATTTTAGGTGTTTCCTCACAAAAAAAACTCCTTCTGGGTGAAAAATTCTTTGAATATTTTATTTTTATTTTTAGTATTGCAAACATTTTTGCAAATACCTGGATTTTAATTAATTTATTTGGTCCTTTTTGCAATCATGTTAATAAAATTTTAATCATTTTATTATGCAGTGCTAAACATTTTGTTAATATATCTACGTACATATATATCTTTTATGATATCTATTTTCTGATTTCATACATTTCACTTTGTATAAACTTTTGATGATTCATGTTGTTATCTCATTCACATTAAGAAGCAATTAATATTAACACGATATTCTATTAGGAAGGAAAATTTTGACGCTTACTTTAAGTGAACTCTTAATTCTTAAGGGATTTAATATATTATTATATATATTTTTTTGAACTTTTTAATTCCAGTTTCAGACCCATAATGATCGCATCGAACTCCGTAAAAATAACTACAATTATATGAATTCAGTAATGCAATGCTCATATAACATTTTCATTTGCAAATTACTTCTTCATTGTGGTGAATATTATATGTTTTCTTCTACATTGTGGTGAATATTATGTGTTTTCTTCTGCATTGTGGTGAATATTATGTGTCATTTACAATTCAGTAAAATATCAAAAAAAAAAAAAAGTAGAGTGACATTTTTTACCGTGTATTTTTCATTACCCCCTTATCAAACCTTTACTTCGTTGGTAGTTTGAGATACGATAAGTTTATGTGACTTTATCAATTGATTTTAAAGTAGCTCATCAAAGATTTGTATCAACCGTTGTTAATACACTTGCAATTGTGTTACTTTGTGAATTTCAATAATTTCAGTAGTCAGTTGGAAGTGATCAATCAGAAAGTGTGGTTTGGTTTTTGAAAATCGAACAAAATTTTAAATTAATTAATTGCGTCTAAAACACTCCAACGCGAATAAATTATGGTAAATTGCAAATATTCATATAATACAAAACTACTGTTTGTATACCGGTACGCCGATAGCTACGATTAGAAGTGATTGCATAAATTCATGGAAATAAAAAAATCTTCAAAAAATTCTTAAAACAATTCGCTATGCAAATCTTATCTGGTTAAAGTGTTAAAAATGGTGACAAATATTAAACAGAGAATAAACACGAAAGTTTAAATTTTATTTTACAAATCCTGCTTTTCTTTTTTTTTTCTTAAATGCTAAAATATAAATTAAATATAAAAGTTTTCAAAGATAAAAGAAAAATCTTTCTTGCCCTTCAAAAAAAAAAAAATTGTGGTGAAGAGAGGCAAATGAATGAAGGAAAGAAAAGAATATTAAGCAATACTTTAAACTTATAAATCTCTTTACAACAGCAATCTACTGTTTTTCTTCTTCTACGCAATATAAATTCAGTTCCTTCAAAAATGTTTTTCCTGTTATATATAGTGCATTTCTACGTGGCTTAAATCGCGCAAATTTGGACACTGTACTAAATTTCAGCTCAAATTGTCAAACGATTCTCAATTTGACTAATAAAAAAATTGTACTCTCTATATCATGAGTATAAAATCTTAATATAATATAAGCAAAATGAAATTTAATTTCCTTTAAATTCCTATTTAAATTTCCTCTGAAAGGAGTTTATTGTGATTGAATAATGAGTGAGAACAAGAATTAGCCAACTGCAATTGGAATATTTTTACAAGAAAAAAAGAGGCTTTCACAATTTTTCACACAAAATTAATGCTAAAATTTGAACAAAAGTGGTGATATATACACCTTTAGTAAAAATAGCAGCAACAAAATGAACACGTTCCATGCGATATGTGATCAGCAAGGATAGTGAAGAAGCAACGTCAATGGAATTAAAATTGAATTGGCATTGGCGTAAATAGATACAATTGAAAATTCAAAATGTTTGCTGAAATTGTGCAATCTGAGTGTCGAAGCGTATCTTGGCAGAATAGCTCTTCACAGCTAACGTTGTGAGTCTAGTTAATCATAATCTCGCTGTAAACAAGACACGTACACATACAATGGAACGTTCTTATGTTTGCGGAATGAAAAGTTTGTAGTGAGGGGGGTGATTATGCTTATTGAAATCGTAAAGTCTTCACTGACATACAATTAATATAAATACAAGCTTTCATTGTTATTAAACAATTAGTCTTTGAACCATCCGCAACCAAGCAGTATAAACGGAAGGGAAAATAGAAATGTAAAAAAATCGTTTTAAAGTTCCTTATCAGACTGGGAAAATCAGTTGAGACTATAATGAATGAAATGTAATTGGTTTACGTTGACACTCGTATGGGAAAAAGCGTTAAGTAGAATAGGCACAGTTTATTTAAATAAGGAAAGCAACTCCGTTCGAAAGATTTTTATATGAAGCTTTTTAGTTTATGTCAGAACTACACTCGCTGGTATTAATTAGTACATTAGTCTGGCGAGTGTTTGAAGTCATGACTCCCTCCGCGTGGTAATTTGAAACCTAAATATATGTATATGCAAAGCGCGGTAGCCGAGTGGTTAGCATTGCGTACTGGCATTCGAAAGGTTCAAATTCAAATCCTGTTGTCGTACTAACATCCAAAAAGTTATAGAAAATTAATTTAAATAAAAAATTAATCTAACATTGTCTAGAGAATGTCAACCTCCCCGATTGTATTTCTAACATGAAATAAAGCTCTCAATAAAAAAACCATCAGTCGTAATACAAATATATATATTTTCAACCACTAGGCGGCGCTGGAATTTTATTTTACATGAGAATATATTTATGCCTATGTGATATAATATTCTTATATGCAACGAAACTGTTTTTTGACATTCTCTTCCAGATGGCGGACTCAAATAAACCAAACTCAAAAGAAAAAAACAATTCATTACCAACACCAAATGATTTCAATTCACAGTAAGTATTCGTAATTCCAGTGAAAAAAAAATTTAATTCACTTGTATTTTAAAATTTGAGTGTCGCTACAAAAAAAAACATATGCATTTTAGCACAAATCTAGTGGCAGGTGCAGCCAACGAAGTTGAATATAATACTGCGGACTATCGTGATCAAATCAAAGGTCAAACGTATGGTGATGCTTTAGCACATTTCCTGAAGAGCTCATTGGGTAGTGGCATTTTAGCCATGCCAATGGCTTTCTCCAACGGTGGTTTATTATTCGGCGGCATTGCTACACTGGTGACTGGTTTCATATGTGCGCATTGTGTACACATTTTGGTAGGCTTTGGTATTACTTATTTCATCTGCTCTGTTGTAAATTTCATTTATTTACAGGTAAAAACATCACAAGATTTATGCAAAGAAGTCAGAGTGCCGTCATTGAGTTTTGCTGAAACCGCTGAGAAAGCATTTGAATTTGGTCCTAAACGTCTGCGCTCATGGTCAAACTTTGCAAGGTAATTTCTCTCTTCTCTCTCTCTTTTCTCTCTCTCTCTTTTTCTTTCTCTGTCTTTCCCTCTCTTTTTCTATCTCTTTTTTTATCTCTCTTTCTCACTATTTCTGTGTTTATCTCATTCTGTGTGTGTATCTGTTTCACTTTTTCTCTCTATTTCTCTTACTACGTCTCTCTTACATAGGCTCTTCGTTGATTATGGTTTGATGGCCACATATTATGCCGCCGCTTGTGTTTACATGGTTTTCATCGCTACTTCATTTTACGAGGTTATCTCTTATGATACCACCTTCGAAATGGGTAAAAGATATTACATTGCTCTAACAATTATACCATGTCTTTTAATTGGTCAGATCAGAAATTTGAAATGGTTGGTGCCCTTCTCGGCCATAGCTAACGTTTTCATTGTGATCACTTTTGGCATTGTGTTGTATTATTTATTTAACGAACCATTGGTTTTCTCTGATAAACCTTTGGTCGCAAATATTTCAAAGATACCACTCTTCTTTTCGACTGTCATCTTCGCTATGGAGGGTATTGGTTCAGTTATGCCCGTTGAGAATTCTATGAAGAAACCACAACAATTCCTTGGCTGTCCTGGCGTGCTCAATGTATCTATGGTTATTGTTGTGGTTTTGTATGCCACACTCGGCTTCTTTGGCTATGTGCGTTATGGTAATGGGGTGAAAGGCAGCATTACGTTAAATTTGGAGAAAGGCGATGCGTATGTTTTTGTTTTTCTGTCTTTTAAATAATAGATGTATAACATTTAATTTTGTATTATTATTTTCATTGTTGTCTTCCAGCTGGGCTGATACTGCAAAGATATTGATGGCTGTTGCCATACTTTTCACATATGGACTGCAATTTTATGTGCCCAACGAAATCCTTTGGAAAAAGATTAGTCATAAATTCAATGAAAAAAATCACAATATTGTACAGATACTCTTACGTGCCGGCATTATTGTGGTTAGTGGTTGTATTGGTATAGCTTTGCCCAATCTAGAGCTGTTTATCAATCTTGTGGGTGCTATATTCTTCTCCTTACTGGGTATGATAGATTTATAAACATCGTATTTAATATTTATATGTATACATATTTTTTTAAATTTCTTGTTTGTTACTTAATTTGAATTGCAGGAATTTTGGTGCCCAGCGTTTGCGAGACCGTGTACTTGTGGCCTGATCGATTTGGCAGCTTCAAATGGATACTTTGGAAAAACATTTTTCTGTGTGCGTTCGCGATATTTGCGCTAGTTTCAGGTTCTACTGTTAGTATAATAAAAATTGCAGAAGAGTTGTAAAAACACTATAGTTATGGACGATTCGATATTAATACTAGTTCTGTGGAACAGACTGCTTCCAAAAATAGTTTTAGATAGAAAATTTAGACATATGTATGTAAGGCTGTAATTGCTGAAGTTTCAACTAGTACTATTTTTATTTAGAATTTTGCTTAAGTTTTTAAACTATTTTGGTGTTTGTTTTTTACAATAGACGTATTAAAATACAATTGCGATTGGCTTTTCATTGTACTAAAAACTAAATTTAATATTTTAAAATTATTACAATTGATTTAATTATAATTAAACACATATTTAAGCGCAATTAATTGTTGTATATATTAAAATTTCAAAAGTTACAAAAAAACCGTTTAAGAAAATCGCAGTGTTCATGTTGTTGTAATAATTAAGTATTTTAAAATAAAGACAACTAATTTAACTCAAACTATTGCAGTTTTTCATTGCTTCAAACAGATAAATAACTTCATATGTCAACATTTAAAATTATATTCACTTCAGTGGTAGTCGAATTTCTTTTTACAAAAATTAGCACAAACGTTTCTTAAACACATTGTGAAACACATAAATTTTACAACAGCAAACAGACATTAATAACCTTATTTGTTGGATTATGATTATGATTATATTTATGCATAAGCAATTCTTATCGATTTTCACACATCACATTTTAAGTATTATTTTCCTAATTATACTTTATTTCGCTTTGTTTCTACCACAAACGGCAGTCGTTTTAGACTGCAGGCAACCATTTTGCAAAAAATGTAGCGAATACACATCGTTTCCTCTTTGACATTTCCGTTGCCATTCGCTGATTTCACCTATCGGTTCATTCACAATGAATGCTAAACCAAACGAAAGATTTTTTAATTGAAGAATTGAATACACGAATATTTAGTATTAAAGAAAGCTGCAACTCAAATATATTTATGTATATATGGATAAAATATAATTTAAAAATATATTGTATTAAGTGTGTATATTTTCACAACAATAGGAAATGAAATATTAGCTAGTATATTTTAATGAAGGTTTATAAATGCGCAATCAGGCATCTATGTTGAACTGTGTGGCGCGCTCTATTCCTTTGGAAAGATTATATTTTGACAATTACTTGCTGAATATTCTTCGCATATATACATACATATTCTACTAGTTTTTCATAATTTAATTGTTTTAAAAATATTTTTTGTGACAAATTGTTACAGTACTCAAGGCAGAGGCGTTCTTACGCAGTTAAACAAATGCAATAATAATCAAAAGCAGTGTGAGCCAGCAGATGTCGAAGTGCGCCTTGTGTATGCAGTGTATGCACAATGATTGAACTACTAAGGCTTTTTCATTAATTGTTCTCTAAACCAATGCAACATTGTATAAGAGTTCAATGCAACGTTATGATACTTTAACAATGCGTGTTTAATTTTGAACTGATTTTTTTAATTGTTTTTTTTTTTTTTTTTTTTAATGTTCATTTCTTGCTCATTTCACTCTTGTTAATTTGCTAATATTAAAATGCAAATTAATTTGTAAATATGCTAACACTACCGCATGCATGACACATCCAGTGGTTATGATGCAATTTATTTATTAGACATTTACGTTTGCTACATATGTACATATGTACATAGTATGTGTGCGTAAACTTAAAAAAAGCATCACATCTGGCCGCTCCTAGAATTGTATATTGGTGTTGTTGTATAAACCAGTTATATCGTTATACTTAATAATGTATTTTGAACTATTTTTTGAAATAAAAAAAAATAAAACAAAATTTTTAAAATTAATTTAACATATCATATATTATTGCAGTAATGCCATTTTTAAACTCAAAAACTCATTTTGCACGTATTTTGCGGCTAAACGCTCTACATACAATGTATACATATATATATATGTACGTTCAGCATTGCACTGCAAAGCGACACCTTTATTAACGTTTTAGAATTTTTAACAGCTTGACGCTGAGTAGCTTCGCAGTGTTGAGATTTATCATAATTTTTAACAACATTGCTGTATCGACATCAGTCACTAAACGTCCGTGATATCATCAACAACGCGTATCAAGAACATTTAATAGAATAAAGTGTCAATAACACATTAACTCATATCTGAGTGTAAGTGTGCGAACTTTGAAATATCAAAAATATGTGCATTTTAGTGTGAGAATAATTGATTTTAAAAATAAAAACAAAAATTTAGTTATTTAAATAGTAGCAATATATAAAAGGACATGTGCAAAAAGGAGCGTCTTACTTTGGATTTCCTAAGTAAAGTGGGGATTTCGCAAAAATCTTAGCGGCAAGTGAGCCAAAACTTATTGAACACATTTCAAAAGTTGAAAAAGAAAATTTAGCTACAGTGAACCAGTTTATAATTGAATAAAAAATAATTTAATTCACTTTTTTTTATTTACTTTTTTATCGATACCTCAGCTGACAGTCGAATCAGTTATATTACACATGTCAAACAACTGCACTCGATCGACTAAGACAAATTTTTATTTTCCCTTTTTTTTTTTTTTTATTTTTATTTTCTAAAGTCACAAGACCTTTTCATGTGCTATACTGAACGTCTAGCCTAAATATTTACTCTGCACTGTAGAGTAATGAATTTCAGTTTCATTAATCCATCAGCAAATAGGCTTTAAGAGAAAGCGAATGGCGGTATAATAAGCATACATAAAAATGAAGCACAAGAAAATAAAATAACCAGATAATTCTAAATTCTTAAATTTACAATAATTCCATTGGGGGTGTAGCTCGCAAACTAAAGAATAAGCAAGCAAAGACACTTTATTGCAGCCGCCGTAAATCTCACATTTCTTGGTGTTTTATTGCTGCTTAGTATTATAAAATTATATACTGGTGTGTGTGTGTGTTTAGTAAACGAAAATGTTCAGCACACAACTAAAAACAGCCAAAACAACTGACAACCGCGCCGATTTTCGGCCGCAACAGCAACAAATGCAATTTGAGTATTTGTTTTTAGCGTAGTGAAAACGAAATAAGCACAATATACTTTTTTAGCAATATTAATTTACATTTTTTGAACGAACTTTAATTTGAAAACATTTAAATAAATAAAATCATTGCTTTTTATTCCTTATTTACCATGCAATTTAATGTAACATCTCGTAAAAATAATAAAAATAAATATGTAATAAATGAACGCCTAGAAACTAATTAGTGGGCAAACAGCTGTGAATAACAGTAACAATTTATCTATTAAAGCGTCGCGAATAATATTCGAATTTAATGTGCCTTTAATTGTTTTGGAAGAACTGTTAATTTGAACAATCTTGGCGCCCGACTTCATATGAAATTTCACCTGAATTTGCTTTAAACAATATTGTTAGTACTGCATTTCGCGTATATACTATAAAAAGTAATCAAAAGAATATTGTTTTATTATTATATTTGCAAGCACAAACATTTCTTTATTTACACCAGCGACTGATATGCATGGCGTTTCTGGTATTTTGCGCAAACAAGCAAACATTTAAGCGAACACCTTAACTTCGCCTGTTGTTGCGAATATGTACACATTTTTCCCCTTTTTTTCAATTTAAAAGTAGTAAAAACAAGCACTACACAGAGTTTGTCTTACTTTTAAACAAATTAAATAGCTGCGAAAAAAAATGAAGTAAAAATTTGTGCTTTCATTAAATTGTGCGCTTCGCGTGTAAACGAAAATTTACATAGAGTTGAGAGAGCTGTCATTCACAATAGCGCGGTTACTGTTTTACTCACACTCGTATTCGTTTACACACACGAGTACATGGTGTCCAGATGCCGTTGCTACACGCTTGCATCGGTTTATAAAAAAATTTGCTTTTTGCCTAAATAAAACATAAATCATAATAAATTGATTGAAAGAAGAATTTAAATGCTAATTAAATTATGTACTAATTTAAAGATTTGATGACATTTATTAGGGGGTTAATACACGTTCTGTGAGACAGTGCTTTGAATTGTGTTATGTTTTTCATATATTGGAAAAATAGAAATTAGTGAAAAATGTTCTCACAAGAAAAAAAAAAGAATTAAAATAAACTTTTATTTTTCGCAATCATTAATCGGTAAATTATGATGAACTAAATCATTTGTTCGCAGTTTTTACTCAACTATGGGAGAGGTGTCCAACAACAAAAAAAAACTATAATGAAAAGAATTTCACCCTCTCTTAATTCTTCACTTCACGTTATCACAGCAAGAGGATTGACTTGCTGTTGAAAAATTTTATGCTTCATCAGCCAAATCTCGTCTAATATACCTGTACTATTAGAATATTAAATGCATACATACATATACTAATTGCTGTATTTATCGAAATATGTTTTTATGTGTAATATCTAAATCTCTAAATCGCAATCCACTTTCTTACAAGTGCATAACATATAAACATTTATATGTAAAAATAACTTAATCAGTTATTAATTCTCAACGTGTTCAGTAACGTTGTTATCTCAAACAGACATGAGTGGCAATTGTCTGATTCTGAAGAATTTTGATAACTTAAACTTTGTTATATTTATATTGAGTAATTAAATATATGCTGATGTAAGCAGTCTGCCGATTTTTACTAAATAAAAATTATTAGATTTCAAAATGATTGCCAAATGACTTAATATACATAAGTATTTTATTTTATTATAGAAGATTAGCTAGAATTGTGTACTGTCATGCGGAAGGTCAGGGTTCGAGAAGTGATTCCTTATAAAAATCCATCTTAGGCTTAGAATAAACTATAGGCGCTGCATTTGTTGGAAAAATATCCAAGCCGTGCAATAACTTGAGAGGTGTTACAACGTCTCATTCACATATACTTTCCAACATTTCCATATTAGCTATGCTCATTTGGGTATTACAACTGTTTTGCAGTCTGATAGAAATCGAACGTCCTCTGATCCCTGATTTGTTCCCTTCTCAGTCTCATTGTAAAAAAACTATAATTTTTTTGTATTTCGAGTTCTAGTTTAGTCCTCAAATGAATGACACTTTTGGCAATCTCATCAATTATTTCGTTTTCCACAGTGCCCTTGCGGCCAGGAGCCTAGTATATAAGCGGTGCTGCAGACATTTCTTATTGCGAAGATCTCTGCCAGGATAACACTCAAATATTCTTGAGACTTGCAAGGGTACCAGAGACCTAACTAGGGGCACTCACCTCGTCAGCTACTTTTAGTCACTCCGTTGTTGGACTGCGCCAGCAATGTCACATTGGAGGTCGCTTGAATGTTTTTCAGTGCATTGTCAATTTTAACACACTTCAGAGTAAGATTGGTCATGCTACGAGAGAGAGCATTTTTAAGTTGGTGGAATAAACGGGTTTGAGGGAGAGTGATCTGGATAATTGTCAACGAGTTCAGTAACTCATAACTAGTATAAATACGAAGTTTTATAGTCGTCATATAATTAAACTATGGACGCCTAGTGTGCACCCGACGTTTTCGGAACTCTGTAATGAAGTGAAGGTTGGTGTATCGAGTCGAATTGTTACTGAAGACAAAACTTGGGCCTGAGTCGAAACAGGACTAAAATCTTTGGCATAAAAAGGGCACAGCACCATTACCAAGAAGTTTAAGGTGTCACGGTCACGCGGTAGGAATATTATTGCTCGATTAGAAAGATAACGGTGGTTCTAAAATCCTTATCAGAGTGACCAAAAGCAGCTGTTAAAGAAAAAAGGTGAAAAAGTTTACGTGCCGCTTTTGCAAAAGAGCCGGCGTAACCTACAGCCCAAACCTGGCGCGGGCGTATTTGAAAGGTAAAGGGAAATGTTTTTTTTTTTAAGAGGATAGAAATGAATTAATTGGAAGATCTGAAAATAAAATGGAAATATAACATACGAAAACATGAAAGTGCTCCTTCGTATAGCGCTATGTAGCATTAGTGCATGAGCAGTGGGTGACAGTACCGTTATAGAACCTAACAACTTTTTAACTTCCTAATGACACTAATTTCTCGTCCTCTTCTCTACGTTTAATTTCCACAACAGCTTGCCGAGATCTTACTTCATGGTTTACTCCACTCCAATTCCACAAGGCTCAAGTTGAATTTCGCGCATAGGGTTCTTCTACCTCCTACAGAACCATTTGTTAGAATTTATTTATTAAAAAAGTACAAAATTTGCAACTTTATTTCTCGTAGATGACGGACTCCATAAGTTCAGCAATCTCGCCCATGGGGAAATCAACTTCCGAGTTTACGTTGGAAGATTTCAATTCACGGTACATCAACAACTAAAGTGTTTCATGTGAAATATTTGTTAATGAAATCTTCCTATATTTCAGCACACAGCTAAGCGAAAAGACACAGCCTGAAAATGAATATAATCCTGCAGACTATCGCGATCCTATTGCGGGTCAATCTTCGGTGGGCGCATTTGTGCATTTACTCAAGGGTTCACTAGGTTTTGGCATTTTATCAATGCCAATGGCTTTCTACAATGGTGGCTTACTCTTCGCTTTGATTGCAACGTTGGTGGTGGGCTTACTTTGTGCGCATTGTGTGCATATATTGGTAAGTAAGATATCATAAATCCTCCGCAGTGTCAATGGAAGTGTGAATGAAATTAATATCCATGGCATTTTCTTTTTTTATTAATATCCATTAAATGCTTTCTTCATTTGTTTGCAGGTGAAAACTTCACAAGAAATTTGCAAAACACATAAAATTCCCGCACTAAGCTTCGCCGAGACTACACAAAAGGTATTTGAAAATGGACCAAAATACCTGCGGCCATGGTCAGTCTTTGCAAAGTAAGTTTCCACAACGCCACAAGACTTTACTTCTTATATTGATGAGTGCATAAGTTCGTGCCCGATTCCGCTGGATGCCGTTCGAATCGTTTGAGAGTGGCGCTCGTGAAAGAAATATATACATATTATATATCGTTGGAAAGGTGACAGTCCGAACTGTAAATCAAGCATAAAATAACTTCATTTTGATTTGAGTTGCTTAGTGAAAAGACGCATGGAAGATGGACAACGAAAAAGATCATATGCGTCATATTATGTTATACGAATTCCGCAAAGGAAAAACAGTAGGCGCTGCAACTAAAGATATTCGCGAAGTTTATTTGGACCGTGCTCCAGCACTCCGCACAGTAAAGAAATGGTTCGCGAAATTTCGTTCTGGAGATTTTAACCTCGAAGATCAACCTCGCAGTGGACGGCCTTCTGAGCTTGATGACGATGTTCTAAGGACTTTAGTTGCGAATAACTCACGTATTTCGACGGAAGAGGTTGCCAGTGAATTGAACGTCAACAAATCAACTGCGTTTCGTCGTTTAAAAAAGGTTGGGTACACTTTGAAGCTCGATACATGGGTGCCACATCAGTTGAGTGAAAAAAACAAAGTGGACCGTATGTCAACAGCAATTTCTTTGCTTCGACGGATCAAAAACGAACCTTTTTTGGATCGGCTCGTGACTGGTGATGAAAAATGGATCCTGTACAACAATGTTCAACGCAAAAGAACATGGAAACAGGCACACGAAGGGGCGGAACCGATGTCGAAAGGTGGATTGCATCCGATGAAGGTACTGCTGTGCATTTGGTGGGATATCCGAGGCGTGATCTATTTTGAGCTCTTGCCAGCTGGAGAAACGATCACTGCCAACAAGTATTGTCAGCAATTGGTCGAATTGAAGAAAGCAATTGATGAAAAACGTCCGATTTTGGCCAATCGCAAAGGAGTTCTTTTCCATCATGACAACGCCAGGCCACATGTTGCAAAACCGACCCTGGCCAAACTGAAGGAGATGAATTGGGAAATCATGCCGCATCCCCCATATTCACCCGACATTGCACCTTCTGATTATCATTTGTTTCGATCGCTGCAGAACAATTTGAATGGAAAAAAATTTAAAAATGTGGAAGACGTCAAAAACCACCTTGACACCTTTTTCAACGAGAAACCGCGCGATTTCTATGAATCAGGCATCCGTAAATTGGTTGAACGTTGGGAGTGGATTGCCGAACATGATGGCGAATACATAATTGATTAATAAAAGCGCTTTCTTCAAAAAATTTCAATTTTAGTTTGCACTTGAAATCGGGCACGAACTTATGCACTCATCCAATAAAATAAAAATGTAACTGCTGACTAGTGAAAAATTTTATTTAAAATCACGTTTTCATATTCACGCATGCAAAAATTCCGGAAGAACTAGTAGAAATTGAGCGAGTAGAATGACATTTGATTTTGAGGGGAATTTGCTAGTTTCCGCTAGACACATTTTAACTAGTATAAATAGGAAATAAAAAAAAAACAGCTGATTATAAATATTTGTTCGTTGAAAATTTTGCTCTGATGAGCGTGGACTTTTCGCGCCTCGAGCTTGCTTCTTTTGACTAGTTTTGTGTTTGCTTAAATTGTTTGCCATTTCATATTTGCGTGAGAATTTCTTCACTGACTAATTTCTACTGTAAAAGTGTGTGTACACAACTAATATTTTCTCTCTTCCGCAGACGTTTTGTTGATGGCGGTTTGATGGCGACCTACTTTGCTGCCGCTTGTGTTTACATGGTCTTTATTGCGACCTCCTTTCATGATGTCATCAATTATGATACCGGCCTAAGATGGGATGTACGCATTTATATTGGCTTTACTGTGATACCTTGTCTAATCATTGGTCAAATACGAAATTTAAAATGGCTCGTACCATTCTCGGCAATTGCAAATATATTCATAGCAATTACTTTTGCCATAGTGTTGTATTACTTATTTAGTGAACCGTTGGTATTCTCAGACAAACCGTTAATTGCACGTTCTGAACAGATACCACTTTATTTTGCCACTGCCATTTTCGCCATGGAGGGTATCGGCTCAGTTATGCCCATTGAAAATTCAATGAAGAAACCTGAACAATTTCTTGGTTGCACTGGCGTACTCAATTCAGCTATGATTATTGTTGTTTTGTTTTATTCCGCAATCGGTTTTTTAGGTTATGCACGTTATGGCAGTGAAATACGTGGCAGCATTACATTGAATTTAAATGATGGCACACCGTAAGTTAATATTGTATAATAATTGTAAATAACTAATTTCATATCATTTATACATATGTATATGCGATGCAATATTTGCTTTATATTTCTCCTCTACAGTTTAGCCGACACCGCCAAACTGCTAATAGCGGTTGCTTCACTTTTTGCCTATGGCCTGGTTTTCTATATACCCATCGACACACTTTGGCGAAATATTAGCGACAGAATTAGTGAAAAGAATCATAATATTTCACAAATACTTTTACGCACGGCAATTATATTGATTAGCGGCGCCGTTGCTACCGCTATACCAAATCTTGAGCCGTTCATTAGTCTTGTGGGCGCCATTTTTCTCTCATTACTTGGTATGGACTTGTGTTGTGCACTGAAATTTTTGATTAATTTACAATTTTTTATTGTACTTGTATTTTTCTTACAGGCTTTTTGGTGCCCAGCGTTTGTGAGGCAGTTTACTTGTGGCCCGATCGCTTGGGTTGGTGCAAATGGAAACTATTCAAGAATATATTCTTAAGCGCTTTTGCGATATGCGCTCTAGTTGCTGGCTCCACAGCGAGTGTAAATGAAATTATTAAATTATATAAGTGATTAGGCAAATAATTCTATATGTTTATACTATTGTATATGACAAAGCAGCTATTTAAGATGGAATTTTCATGTTTAGCTTTTAATATTGTGCATATAATAATAATTAGGAATATCTTCGTTTATTATAAATATTATGAAATTTTTGAAAATCACATACAGCACTCTAAGTAGTCCAGAAAAATGCCTGTACATAATATTTGCTCACTAGTTACTTAGTACCTGTGATTGAAATGTATACCCTTTGTAACGTTAAAAAAATACAACAATAAATAACATTAATTAATTTAAAATATAAAAGTTTATTTATATTGTCTATATAAAACCGACGAGCGCATAGAGCAGTCACTTTTCGATTGGGTGATGAAAAATTTCATAAAAAGGATACGATCCTGTAAGCGTAGCCTTGGCGGCCATTTGATTGAAAATGTTTACCATCATTAACGGCATATCTTACTCTTTACATTGTAATCAACAATCGATTATTGAACTCAATAAATTCCATTTTTTTTTTTTAAATATCAAAATGTTTAGTAGCAAATTAAAAGAAACGTGAAACAAAACCACATTCTATCGGCCTGGTGAGCAAAGGGTAACAGAAAACGTCCAACGGGTTGTATGAAAAGTCCTCGAACGCTTCCTATAGAACTAAATAGGTTTGATCAAACCTCAAATACTGATAAATGGTCGCACATGCTATTGCCATAGCAACATGTGTAGTTACCCTCCTTGAACTGTACCTAAAAGTTATTTTTTTATTCCATAAACCTTGAAGTGCAGCAATACTTCAAGTGTCATTCATTGACGCCGTCAGCTCATTCAACGTATTGTATGTATGTATGTACATCAGAACACGCTCGTAAAATGAATGAAATACTCAATACGAAGTTAAATGGTTGCAAAATAGGCAAAAAAAAAACACAAAAACAAAAAAGGAAAACAATGTTAGCGGCGTTTCCTAAATTTGTGATAAGTTTATCGTTTTTATCTTTTTATTTGTCCATTCACGTTCAGTTTGTTGTTTTGTTTTGGTTTTCAATTTATTTTTTTTGCATATTTTTTTTTTTTTGTTCGTTCTTTAAGTTGATCACAAGCAACTTTGCCTCTGATTTCACGATTTGATAAATTGTTTTGAGATAATTAGTCGATTTAATATGAGTTAATTTGTTAAATTTTTATTTCGATTATCTACACTTATTAGTTAAAGTTTTCCTCTTCACCGATAGGAATTGTACAATACTTATATTGAATTTGATTTAAAGCCCGCCAAACAGTTTATTGAAATCAATCCGTGGTGTCGGTTGAAAGCGCACGAAGAGGAAATCGAAAAATTTTCATTTAAATAAATATTAAATTAAAATAATAAATTGAAAATAGTGAAATAAACTAATTATAGCGTTTTAAGGTAAATTACAATAAAGTGGCACGGTTTGCAAGATTTTGTGTGTATTGCAGCAAGAAAATGTTAAAATCAGTGCTTAAAAAACTAAAAGTGTTAATTTTGTTTAAAAAAAAAATTTTAAATAAATAATTTTTTTTATTAAAATATGCGCTTTGCATACAGCACACATTAAAACAATTTTTTACGGTGTATTAAGAAAAAACATTTCACTAAGAAAAAATAGTTCAATTTTTCTTATTTTTAACAGCAAAATTAAAGTTAATAAATTTTCAACTTATTTTAAACAAAATAAAAATATGTATATAAGTAATAAATAATTATTTCAAAAGCAAACAATTATTTTTATTATTTTTTAACAACCCAGATGACAATAAAATAAAAGTTAATAGATTTAAGGTTTTTTTTAACAAAATAAAAATGTATGCATCATAAATAACTGTTTTGATAAAAATATAAAAATATAATTTTCATAATTTTCAACAATCCAGATGACGAATTCTACAATTGCGATACCAGGTGACAAACAAAAGTCAACATCAGTCTTTACATTGAATGATTTCAATTCTCGGTTAGTTTGAAAAATTAATATTAGTTTTAAATTATATTACTTTGTTTCATTTTAATATATTTCATTTTGCTTTGCTTAATTTTTCTTTTATTTTATTAACTTTATATTTTATTTTAATTTATTATTGGGTTGCCCAAAAAGTAATTGCGGATTTTTTAAAAGAAAGTAAATGCATTTTTAATAAAACTTTAAATGAACTTTAATCAAATATATAATTGCCATTTTGTTCGATAACCTTTTGCCATCTTCCTGGCAAATTTAGTATTCCACGCTCATAGAACTTCTGGCCTTTATCTGCAAAAAACTGAACCAAGTGCGATTTTATAGCCTCATCATTGCCGAAAGTTTTACCATTTAAGGAGTTCTGCAAAGATCGAAATAAATGGNTTTATTTTATTTTATTTTATTTTATTTTATTTTATTTTATTTTATTTTATTTTATTTTATTTTATTTTATTTTATTTTATTTTATTTTATTTTATTTTATTTTATTTTATTTTATTTTATTTTATTTTATTTTATTTTATTTTATTTTATTTTATTTTATTTTATTTTATTTTATTTTATTTTATTTTATTTTATTTTATTTTATTTTATTTTATTTTATTTTATTTTATTTTATTTTATTTTATTTTATTTTATTTTATTTTATTTTATTTTATTTTATTTTATTTTATTTTATTTTATTTTATTTTATTTTATTTTATTTTATTTTATTTTATTTTATTTTATTTTATTTTATTTTATTTTATTTTATTTTATTTTATTTTATTTTATTTTATTTTATTTTATTTTATTTTATTTTATTTTATTTTATTTTATTTTATTTTATTTTATTTTATTTTATTTTTATTAATCAATTTTATATTATTTTTATTATTATTTATATGAATTTTCATGTATTTACAGGTCAAATTTAACCGAAAAAGCACAACTCAGCGATGATTATTGCACAGCCGATCATCGTGATCCAGCCAAAAGTCAAACTTCAATGGCTGCACTGATGCATTTCCTCAAGAGCTCATTGGGCACTGGTATTTTGGCTATGCCAATGGCCTTTAAAAATGCAGGCTTGGTGTTTGGCTTGTTTGCTACAATGGTGTTGGGTTTCCTGTGTTCCCATTGTATACACATATTGGTATGTATGTATGAATACATATAAATGTATGTATATATATATATATATATATATTTGCTTCTCTTTATCTTCTTCATTAGTGAAATGTCAATCAAACTCTTAATCTAAAAAAAAAAAACAAAAAATTGATTAGAATTCGAATACATTGATTATTTTTACACCGTCATTAAAAGTTGCTTATCATCATATCCTGTAGCATCTTCTCTGTGAAGCACCTGTCACATGACACACTTAATCAGTACTTAAAGACAAATTGTATTTACTTTTCCGTTGCCCACCAAAATTTGCAATAAGTAATCGAACTTTTGTTGTAATTTACGCAGGCAAATTATTAGTGATTGAGTTAAGATATTTACACTTATGTAACTGTTAGTGGAAAATTTTGCGACTAAAAGTAAAATTTAATGATGTTTTTGTACTTTTTATTTACAGTTGAATCTATTCGTAAAGAAATTGTTTATAATTCAACATCTACATTGACACACCTCATAAAATAAGCAAATGTATGTTTTATTACATTTTATTTTAATTTAATTAATTTTTTTTTATATTTCTTTTAATTTTTTTATTTTTGTTCTTTTTTTATCATTATACTTTATTTTATTTTTTATTTTATTTCATTATTATTTTTATTTTATTTTATTTATTTCATCTGATTTTAATTTAGTTAATGTTGTTTTTCAAATCATTTAATTTTCAAATTTATATTCTTTTTTATTATATCATTACCTTTTATTTTATTTCATCTTTTTTTATTTTTTTTTAATATATCAATTTACTTTATTTTTTTTGCGACTAAAAGTAAAATTTAATGATCTTACCTTTTATTGACTGTTGAAACTATTTATAATTCAACATCTATATTAATATATAAATTTATGTCTTATTTCAATTCATTAAATTTTATTTTATGTTATGTTATTTTTTTATGTTTCTTTTAATAAAACATTTATTTTTTATTATATTATTACACTTTATTTTATTATATTTTACTTTAGTTTATTTTATTTCATATTTTTTTTTTTTTTCTTTTTTTTCATTATGTCATTATACTTTATTTTATAATTATATCATTACACTTCATTTTATTTTATTTCATCTTATTTTATTTTTTTTACTTTTTTTTATTTTATCATTATACTTTATTTTATTTTTATTTGCTTTTATTTCCAATTACATTAAATTTCGTTTATTTATTTCAAGGCCAAAACTTCACAACAGGTCTGTAAGGACATAAAAGTTCCTGCCTTGGGTTTTGCTGAGACCGTGGAAAAAGTTTTCGAAAATGGTCCGAAAAGATTGCGATCATGGTCGAAATTCGCGAAGTAAGCTTTATTCACTTTAATCTGGCTCCGATTTTATGATTTATGGCTAATACATGCGCTCTCTATTTCTCTCTCTATCTCTCTTCTTATTTAGGCTATTCGTTGATATCGGTCTTATGTGCACCTACTACGCAACTGGTTGCGTTTATATGGTCTTCATCGCTACATCGTTTCACGATGTCATCAACTATGACACTGGCCTTGATTGGGATATACGCACATATATAGCCATGACTGTAATACCTTTTCTATTAATCGGGCAAATAAGAAGCTTAAAATTGCTTACGCCTTTCTCTGTAATAGCTAATATTTTTATTGTGATTACATTCAGCATAGTTTTGTACGATCTGTTTAGCGCACCATTCGTATTCTCCGATAAAGTTTTGATTGCAAAGCCAACACAATTACCATTATATTTTGCTACCGCCATCTTTTCTATGGAAGGTATTGGTACTGTTATGCCAATTGAGAATTCAATGAAGAAACCACAACAATTCCTCGGCTGCCCGAGTGTATTGAATATTGCAATGACCATTGTTATCTCATTATTCGTAATTGTCGGCTTTTTTGGTTATGAGCGTTATGGTGATGGCATACTTGGTAGCGTTACATTGAACCTGGCAGAGGGAACATTGTAAGTATTTTGATTTTACTTATATACATACATACATATACATATATACGTATATATTGCTTTCTGTTTCGATTTTAGTTTGGGTGACAGTGCGAAGTTACTGATGGCCCTTGCCATAGCGTTAACATTTGGCATTGTTTTCTATGTACCAAGTGAAATTCTGTGGAAATTGATCAATCATAAATTCAATGAAAGATATCATAATATCACACAAATTATTTTGCGTACTGCCATTATACTGATTATTGGTGCCTTGGCGGCAGCAATACCCAATCTGGAACCGTTCATAAGTCTTGTGGGTGCGATTTTCTTCTCATTGCTTGGTATGTTTAAATGAAAATTAATTATTTTGTGTCGCTTAAACTAATTATATTAATATTTTTCTTAATCGTAGGAATTTTTATACCGAGCGTTACTGAGACTATTTATTTGTGGCCCAATCGCTTGGGTTGCTGCAAATGGAAATTGTGCAAGAATATATTTTTAGGCGTCTTTGCGATGTGCGCGCTTGTGGCTGGCGCTACGGCGAGCATAAGCGAAATTATCGAAATGTATAAGTGATATGCAAGCAATTGCGGCAACAGTGCTCAATCTTCAAGCACACAACTGTCTTGTAGGTATCAACATATTCCCGCAATAGTTTTTTTTATATCATTCAAATTATAAATTGAAGCGAACATTTTTTAGAGTTAATACACATAAACCTACTTCATATACATATATGTTAAATTTAGTTTTTCTTTCCTGTCAGTATTTCTTATTAATTAAATTTTTCTTTCTCTTCCATTGCAGGCATTTGTGAAACAATAAATTTGCTTCCCACCAGCTTGAATTTTTGTTCACCTGCATAGCCTTTCTAGAGTCAACCTTTATAAGAAACGTGGATTTATTTGGCATTTGCAAAGATACGTGATGCGAGAAATTTCCTTTGGGTTACCTTGGGACAGAATATGAGGTTGAACGACAGTGAATACAAAAAAGAAACAAAGACTTTAGCAATAAACTGCGAACGATAAACACTGATACCATAAAATAAGAAAAACAGTATTGTAAAATATATTTTTAGTATTTATATATATATGTAAAAACTTCTTATCATTTTACATCAGCAGTTGGTAGATTTATTAGGCAGAACGCTGATAAGACTTAGCAGCATTTACATGAACACATACATTATACAAAAGAAAGAAACATAAGACTTACCAAGTTTCGCATTACAAATTGTCTTATTTAAACTGTTATGCTGTTTTCTTAACAAAATTTTGTTAGTATTTACACTTATTTTGATAACTTTCTAAGATTTCCGCCATTCGTTTTCTTGACAACATTTCCGTATTTGCTCCTTTGATTCACAATAGTAGTTTGCACAGCGAAATTTTCTCATAAATCCAGCGATTTGAATAAAAATTTTGTTGCAAACTTTCTGTAGACTTCATATATGTTTATTTGCATACACAATAATTTCAGTTTATGGTAGAATTTTCGAAAATTTGTTTTATTTTGCTTGCGAACGTAAAGAAGTTTTTAACACGCTACTCTATTGTAAACTTCATCGGTTAATTGCGATATACAGCTGACGTTTCCGTAGTAAACTTTTAAAGTTGGTTGAAGTATTTACCTGCGCGTCTACTAAATTGAAAACAATAAAATATTGCATACATCTTCCGCTCTAAATTTTCGCCACAAACAGCTTAATCTCAACAACAAAAAGTTGCAATTGGAAATATAGTAAAAGGCTATTCTATTTTGTTTTCGCTTTCTGCTTGTTTTTAGCTTCCGGTGACCCCATCCGCTTTCCGCATCAGCATTCCGTTTCTTCTATTCTTCTCGGTATCGTTACTTCCGGTTCACATCATTATGCATATCTGCGCGGCCCTACAACCGGTACTGTTTCCTGTATACAGTTAGTTAATTAACTACAATGGCAATCTTGTAACTTTAATTCCAAATTATTTATCAAAACGCGTTTTTGCTCAATAAAAATGCAATAGCTCGTTGTATTTCAAGTTTAATTTTCACTATATTTTACTAATTTAGTGGCGAAAAAAATTAACACTACCACAATGTAATATATTATGAAATAATCCCTATAAAATACATTTAATAATTATATTTATTTTTATAATAACTTATATATATTTTTTTGCAATATTTATACATATACATATGTGCCTGACAATTTGAATTTTATGGAAGCTAAAATGTTTTAGATTCCCATTATTCCCACATAATTGTTTTGACTGACATATTTTTTAGCAATGACTCATTATCTACAGTGCGTAAATAGATTTTCCTGAAATGTGATTTGTTATACATTAAAACCATACATTAATTATATTTTATAATTCTATATTCTACATCGTATGTACTTATATACTCGTGTGTGTAGTTAACAAGATTACATTGGAATGACGAGCAATTAGCGTTAACAAGAAGGAAATAAATGTTTTTTGGAGGAAATATGCCGATTTCTTTTGTAATTTTAATGTCCTTCGAACTTTTTGTGTTCCGCTTACTATCTTTCCACATAAACTATGAAATTTATTCAATTGCTCTTCTCCAACCGCAGCCAACAATGACGTTACTGATTAATTGAGTACCAGCTTCGTTTCACTCAGCTTGTGGAAATGTCATGCATATGTCAACTGCACTCAATGCTTTATCGGTGATTTATTTACTACGTAATATTCTCACTTAAATGTAGTATATATGTATATATACATATATATTGTTTACAACTATTACACTTAAATGGCTTGAATATTCAACACCAATGTTAACTAAACCATCCTTTCTTTTATCAATTTTTAATTGAAAAAATCTGTGCCAATTTAATAGCATGATTCTTTAAATACTCATAACCGGCTTTACCGGCCATTTTAAGGGCTTCGGTTTTATTCACAGTCGCCTGTTGTATTTGGCTTGTTCCAGTTGTGGACGCTGCAGCTGTTTCATTCTCATTGACATCTTTCGATAATTTATATGTACCCGTTTCACCTACATTCTTGGGAAACATATTTCTCAACACATAATTGAAACCACTTGCAGCTTTATTGCAATTCGATTTGAAACGTTCAATGCCAAATGCTCGTATGGCACGGGAAAATCCAAATACTTGTGAACTGATATAAGCACGCCGCACAGCCAAAGTACGCCCATCTTGCTGTTCACTATATTCAACTATTTCGTCGACATTCTGTAAATAGAAAGAGCATTGCAGGTACAGATTATTATAATGCAATTAGAATAAGAATGTGAAAAGGTGATTAGAATTATGCGAAAAATATGGAAAAACTTAAGAGAAAACTGATCAAAACAATTTCCGTATAATTACTTTAAGCTAGTGTTTTTTTATAATATTTAGAAAAAATTTGTACAATGATTTTCTTATCTGCACATATGGTGTATATATGGTAATAAATAGAGGCTACCATTGTATTCGCTGTGTTGTAAGGAAAACGCAAATAAAAATTTACAGTACTTCACTGTTCACGTAATTAAATAATTATTATTGTTTAATAAATAAAGAAATATAGAAGGTTTGTACATTCCTTAAATGAAAGGTATATTATAAAAAATAATAAGATGAAATAAAAACAACTGCTGGAAATGTTACATATAACCGGTTTCTACATAAACACATATGCGCATACATATAAGTGTAAATAAACAAATACAATAAAAAAGATATTTGAATTGGACTTTGCCCAATGCCGCTGGTGCTAAATCATAGATTTTTACTGATAATAATGAACTAAAGTATATCGTTTTAACACTCACCATGATTTTCTTGAAGCCGATATTACGTGTAAATGTGACTAGTGTTTTCTTTTGTGGATCCAAAATCGAATCCTCTACAATTTTTACAGGTGCATTGTTATAAAAGCGTTTACCCCAATTTGGCACTGGATTTGTTTTAGATAATAGACGGCGGGAATATAATTTACCATCACGAACTTCACGTTGAATTGTATCTTCCGTTAGAACGTGTGTACTGCGAAATTCATACATATACATATGTAGATTTAAATCAGTGTTATTTTAACAGGGTAATAGTTACTCACCTTGATGGATTGGGATAACGATTCCAATAGGCTTGTACAACTTGTTTCCAGCTGTAATCAAAAACAGTTTCGGTTGTACATTGCGAAGCGGTAACCATTTTTCTGATTTCAGTATAGATTTTACGAGCGAATCAAATTGTTGTATACGTTTGTAAAATGGCAGCGTAATTTACTTTACTCCGTCTTTATCACACAAAGGTAGATCGTTTAATTTGCATATAGTATGTACTATAAATGTAGGTATGTATATATTTTATTCTCTATTTTTTTTCTGGAATTCCCTTATCAAAAGACCTTGCTTAAATTTTTATATAGGTTCATTTATATGTACTCTATACCACACTGGGTGTGCAATGTGAAATGCAATCTCTCAACTGTCGAGCGCCGCACGTTTCATCTGCCAAGAGTAAAGAAATGAAAAAAAAACAACAAAGAAATTTATGCTGTATTCAAATTGAAAGTAAAAGTGCAATATTTCGTAGTATTTTCTAGCCGGCAAATAAGTGGGCGTGTATGTTACGGAACGCTTAAATATTCGTGCACACACATGTACATAACCCTGAACTGAAACGATTTTTAAATATGTTGCTTTTATTTTTCGTACTTTGTGTTGTTATATTTAGTACCCGCTAATGGATGACGGAAAATTTAAAAACAAAATCTACTGAATATGCAATTAGGAGTATTACAGCTGTTGTAGTTGCGTTTCGCTTTTATTACCTACCATGTGCACAAATTCTGCAGCCAACTATTGATCACGCGATTCACAATATTGTCAATGAGAGCACTGCTTCTGGCCGCCACTACAATAACTCTTACACAATATTGCTCCACTATGTAGCCGTAATTGTTCGATTTTATTCTCGATTAAATTTGTTTATACCTTAAACCGAAATTATAATTTCCTTTTCCGTTTTATTAGCGACAATTTTATATAGAAATAATTTACATGAATTGTTTTTTTTTTATAAAACTTTCTAATTCCTAATATCCTTTGTTTGCATTTTTATCCTTTGTCTCTCACTCACAATAACATTAACACAGCTGATTGCTTCCCTATTTCCAATTAGAATGTAAACGTGCAGAACTACACATCATTTGCAATAGAGCTGGAGAAGCAGTCGATATTTTCGATAGTAGGCTGTATGTACAAAATATCGATTGCTGTGGGTCAGCATCGATAGACTGAAAAGTGCAAGGACCAGCGAGAAATAACCAAAAGCAAATCAGTGGGGCCTACAGAAACATTTTCTATTCAAAATTTTCTATTAAACGGGTATAAGTCATTTGCCGATGGAGCTATTGACAAGAGAAACATTGTGCAGAAAAAGCAAGATCTCCAGAGAGTCAAGAATTTTTCAACAATACGGCATGGGTGACGTAAGAGGCAAAAGTTCGCCTGACAGTCGGGTCTTCATACCGGAATGAATCGAATTTTTAGCTATGCAAAGTCTGGGTTATACTCTTTTGGAGAATAAGTTTAAGGTTACAACAACAGCTGCATTTATGAATTTCTTGTTGGTACAAAAAAAAACTTGGAACCAGTATTACGAACGGTTAATATGTAAAAGCGAATTGAATTATTTTGACCAACAAATCCGAATTGTTTTTTTTAATTTCTTTTTTTTGCAGCGATAAATAATAATTACAACATCGAGAAACATCGATAGTACAACAATCACTGTTTTTCCAGTTCTAAATGAATAAAGAACGAAAATCGACAAATTGTGCAGTGCACACAGAAGAGGAAGCGAAACAACTATATACTGTCATTTTGGCAAAATAAGATAACCGAAACGTTGTTGCCGTACTTTACAAATTAATATCAACGAAATGGATAATTTTAATTTGCTTGAATATTTTTCATTGGAATTTAGTTTTTTACCCAGACTTATAAATAACTGCGTTACACATACATATAAAAAAAATTTCATATATTCAATGATTTTCTACAATATTCAAGACGTTTTCAAACATTTTTAATAATTGCTAAATAGATATATTCCGTACACCGTGCCATCTATCGTTCAATAGTCGAGAAGTCGTGCGAAGAAAAATTGGTTGCAGTTATTTTTAAGTTTTTGTTAAAAGCTGTATATATTTGATGAAATTCAATTTGCAAATAAAATTATTTTACAAAACGTGAATGTAAATTTTGCATTTAGCTGAAATAAAGATAAAACTTTATTTCGAAAATCAGGCAAGGAAGAACCCAACTTCACTTGTTTTCTCCAATAAGCGCCAAGCTGTCTAACTGTTGGAATGCTCAAGCGAAGAAAAGAATCTGACTTCACTTGGTGTCTGCTACGCTATTTTTGACTAGGCTACAAATATAATTGCGTAAGAAGTGCCAATGCCAGTTAAGAAGAAAAAGAAGAATATTAGAAAAGGCTTAACTGAATTTCAAAAAACTAACCAGTCTATCTATTGATAGCACAATTTCAATTTCTTTTTTTTGCACATAAATATGTATGCATACATATGTGTGTATATGCGAGTGTGAAGTATGTAGTCAAATATGTTGCTTGAAATATAACTCATACGCCATGTCGCCTATATTTACTTTGAAAGCAGCAATGAAGGAACTCTTGACACTATCAACCGTTAAAAATAAACTCCATTTAGGTACAATGCCATCAAAACAGAGAAAAAATAAAAACAAAAAGAAAAATTAAAAATGAAGCAAACTTCCAATTTCATATATATTTCTTTCACCCTCTACGAGAATTTAACAGTTGTTACAACTACCGACTATGTATGTATGTTCATATGGCTGTGTGTCCTGCTATGATTGCATCGATTTATTTGTCATATATTGTAGTATTTCTAGTAAACTATTGCCTACACATTGATTATCTATGAATACTTATTGGGATGATAAAAATTATATGTACAAAAAGGCGGAAGTGTGACCGAATGTTAATTGACTATTTTAGACCATACATACACGAACGTATGTATGTATGAAAGAACAAGTGCTGACATTCCTGTCGGTCTATGGTAAGAAAATTACAAATATTAACAGTAAAAACAAAAAAAGAAACTAACTATCGACCTTTTGCATTCATAGCATGAATTTTACTTAATTTTTTTCCGTGCAACACTTTATTATTTACATATTTTACAGACGTACATAGCTTCGTGCACGCTTGCCTTGTGTGACCGTTAAATATTATACTGCATTTCTTTTTTGCTTTCTTTATATGCTTTCATGAACATCGACTTAGCTTGAAATTTTCAATTTTCACTGCTTTCAGTCGATGAGTGGCTTTTGCCGCGCTTTGTTTACAAAAAAAAGTTGGCTAATCGTTGATTGATGTAGTGCGTGATAGGATTGAAGAAAAGTCGTTTTTATATAGCCAACATTTCATTTGTTGCCTGCAAGTCTACATACATACTTATTATGCTTGAGCGTGAAGTAATTTTATGAAACTTAAACATCAGGGTGAACTATTATTGTTGAATTTAATGATTAAATCCTACTTACATACGAGGTGTGTATTTACGTATATAAATTAAATAAATTTTTTTTTATGTAAAACACCGTTTAAAGGTAAAAAAATCGTAAGCTAAGAAAATATGTAAATAAAACATTTGCGATTTTTTTTTCATAAATTAAACTAAAACCATATATGTAAATCGAATTTGAATGTTATCTATTGTGAACAGCCACCAAATAACTTAATATATTATGTAACAAAAAATCAGTTTGCTGAAGACTTAAATATAGTATGTATATGTAAGTACATATGTATATACAAGCAATGCCGCAATGAAGACTTTTAAGTGACCACTTAACAATATATGCATGTGTTGCCCACGAATTAGTCTGTAAGCTTTCTTCCCACATATGTATGTATAATAACCATGCATGTGCATTGAACTATCGGGGTTTCAAGGTCGCTGCATGGATTTCATTTGCATAGCACATGCTAGACTTTCTATTTCCAATTTTTAATTTTTTTTTATTTTTTATGTTTTTTTTATGTTTTTTTTTTTGTTCAAAGGAAGCACCAAATGTTTGAAGAACCAAATTTTTTTCGTTTTCGAAATATTAAGCACAATTTCCCGTATCGATTTCGATAAATAAAACAATCGATCTACATATACGATCACATGGCACTTTGACAGCTGAGAAAAAGAATTTATTTTCGAAAAATTAATACGCTGGTTTTGATCAAATTATTTTAGAGAAACTCATTAACACTACTAAAATCTTTTAAGAACTAGTTTTTTCCTTAATTGAACATTCTATTGCATACACATATGTAAATACACACATATTTGTTACATACACACCCATTTCGGCTCCAAATAAATACTAAAGTAACCGATGGTCGCAATAGGTTTGAGCAGTGCGGGCGACTGGTTGTGGGTTTGAATTCCTACTAGACCACGAGGAAAATAGAAAAAAGCTTCTAACTACGTTAGCCCTTCGCTCGATAGGAAATATCAGCTTCGGCGTATTTCTAATATGAAATAAAAAACTACTTATAAAAATATGTACATGCAAAAAACTAGTAGATTGCCGGGATTTGTTGGAAGAACATCAAGATGCACTCCACTAAGAGGAATAGCTCTTATGTCGTTTCCGCGTTAAATAGATCAAAAACCAATTAGATACGTATGTACATATATACATATATGTACATATTTGCATATTTAAACTGACAAGCCCAGTGTATTATTAACAACAAAACTAAAATAATAACTCAATTTATGTTTTCATACTGCTCGCTAGCTTCAGCCCTTATCTGCACATTTATCCATTCACATGCATACGCGCACTTATATACATATATAGTTATAAACAGCTATAGCTACTAAAAAAAGTTATTTAGTATCAAATTAACCAACGACAAATGACACTGACAATGAAAATCCAAACAAATACAAATACCAGCGCAGTACTAAAATTAACGCATAATTGAAAGAGGAAAACGGAAATAACTGTCTCTCAGAGTGTGCCAAAGAGAGAAAGAGCAATAAGTAAATTACACAAAAAACAAGGTGAGCACACAACGAATTAAAAATGACAGGATACACTAGTCGGCGAATATTTTGCCCAACCGAACGACAGTTACTCGTTGGTATTGTGACAGTAGAGGCTAGAAATCGTTACTGACATGCGGCTACGGAAGAGCAACCAAAATGTTTAACATTCCAACTATTGCAATGCGGCTATCTGTGGTTAAGAAGAAAAAAAAAACAAAATAAATAATTTCTTGTGTATTAATAAATTTATGTGAAAGAAAAATTTTAACAAAAGTTGTGATTTCTTGTTGTGTTTTGTGTTGCTGTGATATATGCATACATACATACGTGAATGTGTACAGTGTTAATATTGAAGTGTAAATTTCAAAGAAATTGTAAATAAATACATATACACATTTAAGTAGAAAACCAAATATCGATTATACGCAAAAATATGACATTCATGCAACGACTGGCGTATATATTTCTGCAATGGCCGGTAGCGAGTGCAACAATAAAAATATTGCCCGTGTCGTGTTCTTGTTTGTTTCCTGTTTGAAGTATGTAAGAGAAATTAATAATTGGAAAATGCAAATTCATTAATAAATAATGATTGAACTTAGTATTTTATTGTGAATTAATATATTAATTAACGTTTTTAGGTGTATTTATTTATAAAACCAATACATACATACATAAGTATACAAATAAAGTTATTAAAATACATGCTGTGCAGCTCTTTTAGAATAAAAAAATCAATAATATTGTTTCTCACACATCATACCCGGGAATTATAAATGTACATATAGTTACATACGTGTATACATACAAATATAAGTGTATGCTTGCTAATGTGCATGTGAACATATATGTTTATTTGTAAATTATCTATAACATCAAAAAATGTCGCTTTTGGTAGGAAGCAAGAAAAATAAAACACAACAACGATAGCCTCAGCTCGTTCTATTATCAATATGCATACATATGTATATATAAAAAACGTTATAAAGCGCCAATTGTGGACAATATAAATGTAAATATCCAAGCTATTCAATAATAAAAAGTAAAAATAGTAGAAAATATTAAAATTCAATATAAAACAAAATTAAATACATTTTTTAATAATCAAAAATATATGTATGTAATAATACAGTTTTCAAAAAAAAAATATATATAAAAATTTAATAAATTAATTTCGCAATATATTTTGTGTTTTACCAAGAGAAAATTAAATTAATATGAAAATGTTGTGTCGGTGCAATAAGTATCTTCTTCTAAAATAATTTGAGATAACGACATTGTTCAAAAACCCACAGTTTAGATTAGTGCTTAAAAATATATGTGTTGTGTATTTTTAGTTTGCCGGTCGTAAATTAGCGCAGTGATTAACAGTAAGTGCTAGCATGCGAAAGGTGAAATGAGCGAGTCTTGGCCCGACTAGCATCCAAAAAATATAAAAACATAATGTAAATAAAAAAATTAATTTTTTATTTTTCTAATTACTTTCGCATGTCGACAGCGAATGTCAACAACTCCATTTATACATATGAAAAATGGAAGAGAGTGTTAAGTTTTCATTAAGTAAATGTGTTTATCTGTGTTTATCGAAGTTTGTGTACAAAAACAAACATAGAGAAGTGCATGGAATAATTCAAGCAAAACTTACAATTTTTTTTACATATTTATTGAATAATAAATCAAAATAAACTAAAAATAATTTTATAATATATACAAAACTATTTATATATATTTTTTCCCTCCATTAATTCCCATTACTTTTCAAGTAAATCCCTTATAATTGGTAATGTGCTCATTTGGCATATTGCCAAGGACACAGTCAAAATGCCAAAAGTGTCAATTATGCATTGAAAATTATCATAATCACAATTTGGCCACTTAATTAAGCATGTTTAACAATAATGGAATATATATCAAATTGTTTAATACAAAGTGAAATTAAACATGGCTACAAGTTTTCCATTTATTTAAAATACGTATACGCCATGGTGTTGTACAAAATACGAAATTTATTCAATTTTTCAATACACTCGGTTTTAACAATTAATTTTTGCAGTAAAGAGCATTTGTGAAAATAAATTAATATTTTTGTGTATCCTGAGTGCACATATTTTCATATCAACTTAAGATTTTCTTAATTATCGATAACTAACTAAATTTGACACTCGACATTGAAAAAAAGGAAAAGGTTGAGTGGATTTTGCAAAAAAAAAAAAAAATATTTCGTTTACAGTATTTCTAATTAATTTAAAAACTATTTTTATATATTAAATTTTAAAATTAATTTCTCAACTTTACCTGTATCTTTTCAGTGTGGAAACTACTCTGACTGAAGATCTAGAAATCAAAAATCCTAAAAATCAAGCAACAACCATTCAAAAAAAAAAAAAAATAAATAAATAAAAAATATTTATTAAAAAAAATAATTGTCAAAACTAACGCACATTTTTAAATAAAATCCCTACAACATAATGGATTGGACTTGGGCTATTGCTGGTGTCAACGACGATATACCACGCACAGCTGGACCGGAGTGCGTTAATTATATGACAAATCGTCGACGCTGGACCGAATCGATAATACTGAGTTCCATTTTCATATATCTAATATATCGGGCGGCGAAACGTATGAATCCGATTGTATTGCCAACAGCGAAAGAAATCAACAAACCACATTCTGCCATAAGACTTATGCTAATAATAATGATGACATTAATATTTGGCATCGAATTGGGCTTTAAATTTGCTAATAGAAATATGATCTACGTACTGAATCCATGTCATATACAGACTGTGGTGCAGGTTAGTTACAAATATATATGTATTTAAATAAAAATACTAACTACAATTTATTGTTTTAGATCTATCTTCTGGCCGCGAAGCCCAGTAAGACGACCATAGCGCTGTTTCGTATACAAATGAATAATTTGAATGGTCCATTTTTGGCGTTCCTGTTTCCGGAAGTTGAATGTCGTACGTTGTATTTTGAACAGGCGACTTATTGGATCCAGCATGCGCTGTTATATATAATACCAGTGTATTTATTAAAAACTGGTGAGTGGAAATACATATATATATATACATATATATCGTATCTTCAGTAATATCGAAGGCAATATAAAAGTAATTCAATAACTTTTTAAAATCCTCAAAGAAAATTCTGAAGAAAATTTCCGAAATATTTTCTTTTTAAAAAAAAAAAATAATAAAAATTTCGTTTAGGAAATTTTGAGTCGTCGTGCTAAATTTTATTAAGTATACAAATATTGTAGTATATTTTATAAGGCTGTCTCTTTTCCAATTACCTGCGTTTCCACCGCCTTTCAGTTATACTCTATTAACAAAAAAAAGTTGTATGACATCGTGCTAAGTTTTATTAAGTATTCAAATATGGTAGCATACTTTCAGGCTAGCTCTCTTTCCATTGTTTCTAGGGAAACAGCGATAAAATATGCCTTTTTAAGGCATCGGCTTTTCTATTATACTCTTATAGATCTCTAATATGCAAAAAGTTGTATGAAAATGTGCTATTATGAAATATAGATATAGATCTATATAAAATATAGATAAATTTTATCACATAGCATGCTTTTAGGCTGTCTAGCAGTTTTATGGCATGGTGTTATATTTTATTGAGTATAAAAATATTGTAGCATACCTTCGGGCTTTCTATAAGCTTTTTGTCATGGTGCTATATAATATTTTTAAATATTTAAAAAATATTGCAGTTACCATCAGACTTCTTGCTTTTCTATTATTCATCTCTCAAATATGAAAAAAAAAAATCTAATCGTGAAAATCTTGTAAAGTTATTGGTGCATATTTTCAGGCTATTTGTGAAATCGTGCTATATTTATTAAGATATTTTAGCATACTATCGGGCTTGCATGTTTCCGTTGCTTTCGTTTTTGACAGCAGAAAGCTTCTGTACGATCTTCTATTGGTCATGTTTTGAATCCAGACTTTGCCAGGGAATATCTCCACTTTAAGTTTTTTTTTGTCAAAGATACAGAATACAAATTCGACAGATACCTACTAAGTTAGCATAAGTCTATTTGAAAATATTATCTACAAAATTTTGAAAGCCTTTGGCAACAAGACTAGGACTGACTTTTAAGCTAGAAAGCAGCTTCTCCCTATTGCAATCACTGATATCATAACCTCAGTTTTCGAAAATTAATTCATATGCATACAAATGCAAATAAATCTCCCTCGCTCTATTTTATAGATGCCCTTCTCTTGATTATGAGAAAATAATAGTAGACGTCTTCGATTCGAAGAGAGTACTTTTATGTAAATATACACGTACGTACATATCATTAAAGTGGTATAAATGCTTATCTCGATGCTGTCAAGTTGTATTAAACAGATTTTAGGCAAATTCTACCATTGTGAATGGTCCATTGAATAACTGTCAAACAAGGGGGGTCAATTTGTTACTCAAACGGAAGTTTAAATAAAAAACTGATTGTGAGAAAAATTTTCAGATGCCTCCTATCGGTTGCAAAAATCGAAGGAGGAACTCGGCTAAAATTCGTTTCCGCAGTAACAAAGCAGTAAATTATTATTCTTAATAAGTGTTTGGACGTTCCACCACTTTCAAAGTGTTGGCGTATCCAAATTGGCTTGCATCTAGTCTATAATCTACTACACTTTGCAAATATTTACACTTACAGGTGCTTATCAAATGGAGGATATAAATGATTACAACTGGACCACTATTGGGACTGCTACCATGTTGCTTTATCATTTTGCTTTTTTGAGTACAATATCAATGGTTAGTTGTGTGCTGATTTAATTCTTATTTAGCCTAAATAATAATTATAATTTTTTATTACGACTTCCAGTATATCGGCATCAATCTCAGTCATATGCTCTGCGCTGCACAGTCAGATCCTTTTCAAGGTCAAAATTATCGTATCGCCGCCACAATACATGAAATATTCTTATGTCCCATATTAAATAAAGTAACGGTACTTCTGTGTTGTAAACCAACAACAACTGTAATGCTTACAAAAAAACTCAAACCAAATTTAGAGTTACGTCTTACAAATAGCAACAACACCGCAAGACGTATCTCAACCGAAAATGCTTTACTCACCGCACGATTGGATAATACATACGAACAACTCTCGAGATCAGTACCAGCAACACCCACATCCCAATCGCCCACCACCTCGACCGGCTCGCCAATAAGTGAAATATCATTAGTTGCCGAAATGGCGGCAGCAGTAGCCGCCGGTAGTGGTCCGGTAACGATTATGCGACGTTTAAAACGAAATTCCATTAATGCGCTTACAGGTGAGAGTGTGAGTGGTGTGCAGTTGGGCGCAGCTGATCAAGAAGAGCGCACTAATACGACATATGTACGTGATATGATTGATTTGTTGAATGGTGAATGCGCGAATACGACAACAAGTGTCGCCAACGATGATTATACAATGCCAACAACAAAAATTGACTAGTATACAACGAATTTAAATGGCAGTGCTTGGCGGCGTTGGTTGTGGGCGTTAACACACAACATTACCATTTCCATTTCCATTACATCCATATTGTGAAAATATACTAACATAATGGAAAAGCAATAGAAAAAGTGCGATTAACATGGAAGGTCAATTTTATTTTGAGACTTAACAACAAAACAAGCAGACAAGAAGTAAGAGCAGTTAAGCTGTTATGTACCTGAGTTTTTCCGGCAAATGAAAATAAAGCTAAATTCAAAAAAAAAAAAAAAAAAAAAGGAAATTATTATTCAAAAATGATGGTGGCAATAAATCTCAACTTTTTCATCGCAGCGGCTGTAAGGTGTATAAATAAAAACGAAATGAAAACGTAACTAAAATTTAACAAAAAATCCAAAGTAATGTAAATACACATCCGTTCATAAATACATATAGTAAATGATTTTCGTAAATGCATATGCAGTATACAGTAGCTGTATGTAATAAATATATAGAATATTTGAGATAATTTTAACACATAATTTTAAATGTAAAATTAAACTATTTATATATGTAGCGTGTAAACTGATAAATACAAAAGAAAAAAACAATATACTTAATGCACGTGAACTTTAGTAACTTAAACTGGAAATAATACAAATATTTCATGTGTAACTAAAAAGACAAGAAAAAAATAAACTTTTATATACATTTAGGGTTGTTTAAGAAGTTATTTAAAAAATATATATTTTGGCAACCAAAAACTGAAACAACCAATTACTGTAAACTTTAAATGCTCATCAATTTGTATACTTAAATAACGCATGTTAAGCAAATCAAATTAATTTGTAATAACTCAACTCAAATAATATATGCATATTTGTACATATTTACTTACATACATATATTGCTAACTAATATATCTTGTATCAATTTTTCTTGCCAATTATTGATGAAATAAAAAAAAACAGTTGTTAACTACGTAGTATACGCATATACGTATGTATGTAAATATAATTAAAGTACGTTCGAAACCAAAATTTTATTGCAAGCTATGCATTATTCTGTTTTTAAAACTAGATCAAAAAAATTTTAAATGTTTCTTTTTATCATGTAACATGCATAACAAGTTGTGATTTCCAAAAAAAAAAATTATAATAAAATTATGATAATTTTAATTTTACAATTTTATTGAAAATTCGACATTATATCATTAATATTTCTGCCTAAGCGATAAGTTTGGCTTATCGGAGTTATAATGCGTTAACGTGTTTAAAAAAAAACATTTAGTTAAACTACACTAATACTCAAAATGACTGTAATCTGTTTCCAAAAACATATACATATATATATACTTATATATAATTAATAAATAAATAAATAAATAATAAAATAAAAATTATTATTTTTTAATTTTTGTCAGATTTCAACAGTTTAGCACTCTGATAGTACGGTTTCCCTTTCATATGAGAAAATTACAATAACTAAGAAAAAATTTGATAATTATTTAAACAAAAACCGAGAAAAGTTAACTAATTACTAGAAAGAGCAGAAAAAAAGTAAAGACGAAATATGAACACCAAAGAAACGAAATTTCCAATCAACAGTTGTTGTATTAACAGCAACTTTGGTGTGTGAAGGTCACAATAGATCTAATTTTTGACAAAAAAAAGCATTATAAAATCAAATCCATATATATTTCTTACCAAAATATTTGATTTAATAAACTACAAACGCTCGTAATTAGCAAAGTACAGGATCAGGACAGAATTTTCTATTGCTACGCTTAAATTCCTCAATGCGCCTCACACTCGACCAACTGGCAGCACAACAGCGATGACATTTGTCATTTGGCTCAGCTGTTTCCACCAATAAGTGAATTCGAATTAGAATAGTGTTGCCAATTAAGCATCATAAAGTTCTCTTATTACTTTAAAACAAACGTGACTTGCTCTTAGATATTTAGTTAAACATTAAATGATTCAATCGAATTTTCTTATTTTTTCAATAAAGCTAGTATTTAACTATTATCAGAAGGTTTATCAATTTTGTGCTACTTAAAGAATTCTTTTAGCTGGCAACTACTAACCGTTTGTTCTTTCCAATTTTGCACGGATTTTGTTCTCGGTCAGAACGTTTTTTAACCAGCGCGGAAGTAAATCGACAAATTCGTTTTATTTAATGATTTAATTTGATTTTTTTTAGTGCTACAATCTTATATACAAAGCAAAATTAATAAATTGTGTGCAAAAATATTTGAAAGGTTAATTGCTATAAGTGATTCATAACTGATAAAAAATTTGCAAAGCAGATGTTCACTGTGTGCTGCTGCTTCCATCCGACTCATCTGTGCACCAAGAATAGTGAAAGTAAGGAATTTTTTTGCCAGTGGAAATACAAATATATGCGAGTTATTAAAACAAGTGTGTATAAAAGTGAAGTGCAAGGATTTGTGTAGCTATTAAATGGTGTTAATAGGTGGCAAATATTAAGAAATAAGCCGGGTGGCAATTGCGTAGGATTGGCATATGCCTACATACATCTGTAATTAAATTTAATGTTGAGAAAAATTGTACATCAATAAGCCACATCGTATTTTCCCATTTATTTCAATTATCACTTGCAAACTTTTTTTTGTACATCTTTTCATTTTTACTTACTTGCACTTCTGGCCGCACACCCGCAACAAGAATGCTTATGAGAAACAACATGTGTGGGTTGAACACATTACAGAGCAGTGCAAAATATCCATGCATACATAGTATAAATAGGGGGTGTTGTGTACATTAGATACCTTGGCATCAAAAAAAAAAAAATACACAAGAATTGAGGAAAAGTGTAAAACAAAAAAAACATGTATACGAACAGAACAATAACAATCAACATCTGCAGAGGCTTTCAGCTGGTGGTGCTTACGGCAGCCGGCATAGTGATTTGAATTGATAATTTAAAAATAAAAATATTTATCGTCGCGAAACAAAGGTCTGTTATTGCTTTTTATGTCTGCACGAAGATATGTATATGTACGTACATACGTATAAATTTGCAAAACTATAATTTGATAAGAATAACGCGAATCGTTAAAGTAAATAAGCTGAATTGAAATGAAATTGAAAGCCACAAAAGAAAAAGAAACGACGAAAATAAATCATTCTAATTGGAAATTCAATTAAAGATAGTGGTGCAGTGAAGCATAAATTTGAATAAATTTAATAGTGCACGAAAACGTGCATACATTGTTGAATACATATCAAATTCCATTGACTATTAAGTTTTTTGTTTTGTGAGTTAAAAAATCAATAAACTACGCATTCTTTAGTTTTTCTCCGCTAATATATAATTTGAGTGTATCAATCTGTGTTTATTAAACTGCAATAGTTGTATACACAAAAAAAAACTAATAAATTTACGTCATTTACAGGTGCGTGCGCAATTCTTTGAAATAGTTGCGTAATTATATTAAAATGGCATGAAATTGCATACATGTCACTATATGCGTGTGTGTGTGCATTTCTCTTGTTGATAGGCCATTTGAAAAATGTTTATTAAAAAAAAGTTACGAAAACGCATATGTACAGTATACACGTACAAAAATAATTCGCAAAATAAAATGAATTAACATTTTTCTAAATAAATAAAACACTACGGATGGAGCCCGAAAGTGACGCGTGTACGTTAACCGCATTTTACGTACATATGCATATGTACATACATATATTTTTCAACAAAGTTATATAAAAATAAAAGTGAAAACAAATAAACCACAAAGAAAAAGACCCTTGTCATTCTATTATAACGCTAAACAATACTTACACACGTATACCAGCTCGCGTACATGAGAACGCCGGCTATATGTTACCTATGTACATATAAGCATGCTGTTGCAGTACCAGCTAAGTTGGCAAATAAAATAATAAACAAATCTTTCATAACACTCGAATATGCCAGCTGTTGACTCCTCCAAAGTATTTGGTAATTCGAGTACATACGAATATATTAAAACAACACCATTAGTAACAATGACCACAACATCCGGTGGTATGTCCAGTTTGGGCAATACTGGCGGTAGTTCTGCCAATAAACGTACTTCTTCAAATGAATCATCTGGTCTTCCTGATGCTGTTTCGCATTTCTACTATAAACATGGTCTCTTCCTATCCAGCTATCCAACATGTGCCACTAGCATTGCTATTATGGCAATATTACTATCATGGTGAGTCAATTTTTTTATCTATGACTTTGACTGAGTGATAACCAAAGGCATATACCTACGTGTATGTATATTTATATCTAAAACATTATTTAACCATATTTCTTATCTGGGGAAATAAAGAGATATAAATAAATAATTACTTCTACGAGTATAATGCGTGTGTTTGTATATATTCAGATTTCTGAGCATTTACTTCCTACTTTAATTAAATAATATAAGGCATAACAACAGCCATAGAGACACACATACATAGACACACATGTGTAATCTATACATAAGTACCAGTATTTAATTTCAAACATATGCACTTATCCATACTGCTGCAACAAGTGGTCTTAAAATATTTTATATAGACAAATTGGTGCCAGCTTTGAAATGAATGAGTGAATTAATTACATTTCATTACATTTGTTTGTTATATTTTTAGTCTTAATGAATTGCTCATTCATTCAACATACAGGCATATAAAAATATTTATTATTTCATTTAGTAGCTTCTTGTGTAGCAAAATATTGATTGAGGTCTTCTGCGCATAAATTGTATGATATTTGACTAAACGCTTGAAGAAAATACATTAGTTATCATTAAAAGCGGTATCAGTTGAATCAACGTTTCCTTATTTTGATAAAAATAAATGTCGACTTATACATATGTGCTTACATATACGTACATACGTACTTACATATATAGTTGTGGTGGCAAAATTTATGGTTTTGAATATTTTGTGCTAGTCATAAGTTATTTTTAATATTTTTCACACTTCTACTGTTGATAAAAAAAAGTCATTTTTTTATATTTAATTTTTTTTATATTTCATATCATGGTAAATTTTTTTTTTGTTATATTTTCATATTTTTTAAATTTTATATTTATTGTTTAATAATATTATTTTTATCTTTTAAAATTTTTTGTTATATTTAAATATTTTTTATTTTTAATATTTTTTGTTTTATTTTTGTAATATGTATATATTTTTTATATTTATTTATTTTTTTTAATATTATAATGCTAAATGTAAATGTAAAATATATATTCTTCTTCTTCTTTGCTGGCGTAGACACCGTTTACACAATTATAACTAAGTTAACGACATTCCTTCTTTAAGCTATTTGATGCGCAGTCAGGTCCTCACTATTCCTCTGCCTCCCCTCTCGGGTACTGCAGTGAATGCTTTCAAACCTGGAGTATTCTAAGCCTTCTGGACTACTTGGCCTAGCCAGCATACCCAACGTCTCTTGATTCACTGAACAAAGTCAATAACATCATTCCATCGGCTACGGTTTTCGCCGCAGCCAACACGCCGTGGATCATAAATCTATTACAAAACCTTGCTCTCAAAAGTTCCCAACATTTGTCAGTTGTCGTCAGTTGTTGTTATTATATATGCCTCCGTCCTATGTAGCACGACGAGAATGATGATCGACTTGTACCCCTTGCTAGTTAGGGGTTCAAAAATTAACTCGTTTTACGACATGACTGTCGTAAGAAGCGACTAAAATCCAAAAATTTCCACGAATGTCCGCATTTTATACCGGAACGCCCCAGATTTATTATTTATTCTGTCAAGCAATGCAACTTCGGAAATATTCCCCGAAAACCTATTTGGCTTTCTATGCTGACTCCCGTTACACGGTTTGGCCATAAATGTCTCGATTAACAGAGGTCTCTTGAGTTTGTTTCTGCAGATCTTAACTTCAACAAAACTTTATGCTTCGCAGCTGATCTAGCATCAAAACGTGACTACCTAGGCCAGGCTGATTCTGGCGATCACTAAATAGGGGAACTCTATACGGCGATTTGTCGTGATCTGGTGAACTACCTTTAGCGGGAAGAATATTTAATGTTAAAGAGGTTTTGTTACTATGGCGCGACTAAGCTTTGGGCCACCGTCGAATAATTATTGAATTCGACGAGACTCTATAACCAAGCGGAAATTTCATTCGAGAAGTGAGAAACTATTTTTCACGACTTTACTTTGCACCATCCGATAGACAAAATGAAGCTGCCAGTGAAATAGTTCAGGTGGTTTTCGGAAAGGCAAAAACCTACAATCGTAAGCAAAATTTCTCTTCAAGATCCTCAATATATTTCAGAACACTCTAGTAAGACCCGACTTTTGAAAACATCCAATAAAGGGTAATCATATAGACATATATCGCTTCTCTCCCAGCAGCGAAAACTCTTCCTGTTCCCGTATTTCACCCACTGTGTGTATCCGGCAACATATCAACATGGCCTCCCTAAATTGCACAGGACCACCACCGCAATTAATGCAATTCATGTCCTTAAATCGAGCTTGTGCGTGAAGTTCCCTGTGTGCACTAGACATGTCAAAAGCCTTTGATGCAGTCAATCAGGCAGTGCTACTATACTAGGGGGTATTGAGAGTTCGTGTTATTGTTGTTGATGTTGTAACCGGCGTATGGGGTTTTAAAAAATATTGCGAAACTGAAGACCCTAGACTGCATAAAAATAACTGTCGTTCCGGTATAAGGACCCAACTCTGTTGGCAACTATTCGATCTTAGTCGCCTCTTATGATAGTCATACCTTATTGCAGGTCTTGAATTCCCAACTCCTAAAGAAACATTTGAGGACTCAATGAAGCAGTGGATCATGAACTACCTTAAAATTCCGACTCAAATTCCGAAGCAAAAACTTTTAACCGCTTGAAGTAGAACCACTCCAGGCATATTAGAAAGAAAAGAAAATTATATGCCTTCATCAACTCATTTCCAGTGCAACTGAAGAGATGTTGCTGTTGTTGTTGTAGTGATCAGCCGAAGCGCTTGAGCTGACTCATGAAAGCCTTGTAATACTCGCACAGTTAAGATCTTGATCCAGTATTATAACCAAAGCCGAAGCCGTCGAAACAGCTAGTTTTGGGTCATCAGTTGGATAATCTCGACAACATCGACTAGCTTTGTCTGCTATTTAGGAGACCTTTTCGCCGTTCAATAACAACAACATTTGGGTCGATGTTTTGTTGAGTTGACTCTTTTAAGTATGGATATATGAATGTGCAAGCGTGGTCAAGTGATTGCTGCTTTACAGAGAATTCCAAAGGCTTCAATTGTATTTCTGGTGTAAAGAATCAAAAATTATCATAAATCATAAAAAATATATACATATAATAAGTTAAGTAAAAAGTTCGTTCGGTTTTTATCTAAGAGATGGTGTTATTGTCCATGGTACTAGTGTTACGTGTCGCATCATGTCATACAATACGGCGCTGAAAACGTGTTTGTTCGCGCTAAAAATTTGTCTTTGACAGTTTTTCGACTGATTGACTCCGTACGTTGTGAGCGCTCGTCAAAGATGGATACATCTTTTCTTCCATCAAGGCGAAAAATAGCCAAAGCCGCTAAACAATTTAATTTAGTTTATGAGCCCGATACTGTAAACGAACGTGTAGCACAAAAGTGGTTTGCTAGATTCCGTTCCGTTAATTTCGATGTCAAAGATGCACCACGCGTCGTGAGGCCTGTCGTCGAAAATTGCGGTAAAATCATGGAAATAGTGGAAACAGACCGTCATGTGATCACTTATTTAATTGCTGAGAAGCTAAAAATAAACCAGAGAACCATTTAGAACCATTTGCATAACCTTGTATTCAAAAAGAAGCTCGATGGTGCCACACGAACTAATGCAAAAAAACATGATGGACCGAATTTCCATCTGCGAATGGCTGCTGAATCGCAACAAAATCGGACCGTTTATGAGCGGATTGTGACTGGCGATGAAAAATGGGTCACTTACGACAACATCGAGCGCAAATGGTCGTGGTCAAAGCTCGGGGAGGAAGCGGTCCAGACGGTGGCCAAGATCGGATTGAGGGCCAGGAAGGTTTGTTTTATGTGTTTAATGGAATTGGCAAGGAATCACCGATTACGAGCTGCTCCTCTATGGCCAAACGCTCAATTCGGCCCTCTACTGCCAACAAATGGACCGCTTGAAGAGGCCATCTTTGATCAACAGAGGCCGAATTGTGTTCCATCAGGACAACGGCAGGCCACACACGTGTTTGTTGACGCGCCCCAAGCTCCAGGTGCTCGGAGGAGAAGTCCTAATGCACCCACCTTATAGTCCGGATCTGGCACCAAGTGGTTACCGACTTTTCCTGTCCATGGCGAACGCGCTTAATGGTGAGAAGTTGGCCTCAGGAGAGGCCTGTGAAAATTAGCTCTCCGAGTTTTTTTTGCCAATTAGGACGCAGCCTTATACAAGAGGGGTATAATGAAGTTGGCATCTCGTTGGCAACCAGTGACTTAAATTGGACAAATGTGCATAAACTTGACCTAATATATATGTATCGCCCAAGTGAATAATGTGCTTCGCAGCTAAAGAAAATTTTTCTCAAAAAAACGCCGTCCACTGCTTATTGTTCAAGCACCAAAATCAAAGTGTATACGACATTATGAATGGTTAGCTGACTTCAGTTGTTGTGTAAACTGGACTTTATATGGATGTAGGTGTAAGTTCAAATGCAAAATACGCCAAAATGTACCGTAAGAAAGTCCCAACTCTTGAGAACAGCGATACACATTCGGGTCTTACAGTAGCGATATTTGGAGTCCGAACGAGCTAAACAATGACACGTCCGATTCAATCTCTTTAAATTTCTTTAAAATTTTACCAATTGCTTGAGTACATAGTTAGACGATTATGATCTACTCTTAAAGCACAATACGTGGCCACGTTTGAATCGTCATTTTTGTTGTAAGTTTTAACAATTTTAACGCGTTGTGTGGTTGTTAAGCGAACCATTTTCATAAAGGCCTGAATTTCATCAAAAACAAAACATTTTTGGTTTGACAGTCAAGTTTGACAGTTGTCAAAATACAGCTCTGTACTTTTGTAACTACGAAATGCCTAAGCCTATATATATATATATATATGACGCCACAATGTGCTAAGAGGAGAGTTCGAGCTTTATTTTTTTTATTAAAAAAAAAAAATAAATAATTTTATGTACGAGTATGTACATGCAATTCTTTAACA